TTCTGTGTACGCGCATTGTCTGAAACGCGGCTCTCTGTGCGCGCTTTGAATGAGTGCGCTCAGCTCCGAATGTGCGTGAATGGTTTAAAACACTTGAATGTTTAAATCGGCAAGACTTTGAAACACGTGCAAACAATCAACTACGATCCGTTTTACCCCTACAAGCTAGTGAACAACGCAAATCAAGGAAGGAATTTTATATCACTGTTCAATAGATAGCTCGTCGGGCGGTGATACATTTTGGTAGCGATTTTGCGAGCCCTGCTAATGATTTCTTTCTTCTGTTGAACACATAATAAGATTTTTTGAAGAATGTTGATAACCAGACAGCTGCAGCTAGCTGTTTACTTTCATAGTATTGTTTTCATACTATAGAAGTCATTGGCCAGTGGCAACTGTTTGGTTACCAACATTCTTCAAAATATCTTCTTTTGTGTTCAACACAGGAAAAAAAAACTCAAAAAAAAAAAAAAACACAAAAAACTTGAGGGTGGGTAAATTATGACAGCATTTTCATTTAATTGAATTATCAATTTAAAGCCTGTTCACTAGGGGTAGGGGTGGGGGAAACGATACGGTATAGTATTGCAATATTTGTGTGCTGATGTTATATTGAGACAGAGACACCAAGTATGATTCTTTTATCAGGACCTGACTTAGAGTTGTGAGTATTGCGCTTAATTTTACAAGCTCCGTGCGTAATGCGGAAAAACAGATCAAATCAATAATGGAAATCTTTCTTTCAGACTGTAATTTTACAAACAGCACAAGTGTCTCGATGCTGCCCCATCTCTCTATAATGCTCTCTCATTCTAAATATATCTCTATATATGCAAAGAATATAGAAATACAAAGACAGTTCATTCTTATACTTATGAATAGGAGAAACTGCATCGAGCAATATGGCGGAATAGTCCCGCCTTCTAAATGAAAGACCCAATTGCTGATTGGCTTGTCTAGCCTGAAAAATAAGCTTTTTAAACACTATTTGAGCATTAGAAACAACATTCATGGGGCAGTTTATTTCAGATTTTGTTGCTGATTTGAGATACGCAATTTAATTGCGAGTTCAGAGAGCAGTTTTTGAGATTTCAGGATTCCCCCATTTATTTATTTATTTTTTTAGATAGGACTTGGTCTTGTATGAGCTGCCCAGAGACGTTGCAAATATGGCCGCCGAGTGAACAGACTTTCCTTGAAAGAGACTTTGATATATGTTATCGCATTAGTCAGCATATCGCAAAATGTTTAAAATTGCAAAAAATATTGAATCGTGATAATATCGTGTTGTGGGTCCTTTGGTGATTCCAACTCTTACTGTTTGAAACAAGTATGATAACTACAACTATGAAGTTTTGATAATTAAACTTAATTCTGCGAGAACGGGGAAGTCCACTCTGCAACAATGACAAAGAGGAATGATAATGTTGTAAACGCGTTCAAAATCATTTTTTATCCAGCTTATAAATGATAAAAACATTAACAGCCAATCAGAATCAATCCGGCACCAGAAGACATACCTGAGCACATGCTTCTAATAAACAGAAAGTTATCATGCGTTGGTGTGGGTGCTGAAGGCTATCTGTAATAGTTATGGTTCTTGGTGTGATCGGGCCTTTAGAAATGTCTTCTTCCCTTATGCCAACAGTTTACTGCCAGAACTTTGCCACCAGCTTTAAGGAGAGCGAGATGAACGCCATCGCGGCGGACATGTGCACTAACGCTCGGCGCGTGGTGAGGAAGAGCTGGATCCCCAAGCTGAAGCTACTGATGGCGGAGGGCGATGCCTATGCCAATTTCCTCCCCGACAGCATCAAGATGGAAGCGGACGGCCTCAGCGGTGAACCCGCCTTCGAGACGGCAAGCCTGGAGGGCGGCGCTTCGGTGGAGACTGGAGGATCCTCGGGCGAGTCTCTGCAGGGTGGGGGCGGAGACAACGGCACTTTGTTTCAGTGAGCGACCCGGCGAGGAAAGCCCTGCCCCATCCCCTCTGCTGCCCCACCTCCTACCCGCCTCCCACCCCGCTGCGTGACTCTGGGCTCTGCTGCTTCTGCCTGGGATGGGAAAGGGAGAGTCGGGTAGGAGATTGGAGGAGTTTGCACGGTCTAGCGTCGGGAGGAACACAAGGGGTTGATGCCAGGGGCGCCATTTTCTTTTCAATCATTTTTGTTTTTGCTGAATAACCCTCTTTTGCACAGAAGATCCCCTTTGCCTCCATGCTCGGCAAGTAAATCTAGTCACCGATGCTATAGGAATGCGTAATTAGGACCAGGAAAAGTTCTTGCGACCGGAGGTCCGAGGTTCCCTGATCTCACTCTACTGAATTTGAATGTATTCGTGATTTTGTAGCACCTGGCTATGTCAGACTAGCCGATTGTATTTGGCCCAGGAGAGAGACAGGACAAATGCCTGTCATAAGATCTGAAGGAACAGCAGATGGAGAAAGTAGTAGGGAGGAGAGGAGAAAGAGAAGTAGGTGGCATATTCTGTCTCTCGGTCTGTCTAAAACGGAAAGAATCTGATATCCTCCTCTCCTTCCATTCCTCCCAAAATATATGTGGGATCTTAGTCTGCCACGTTCTTTGTTTTTTATGTCGCCGTTTTCTCCTTTCCCCTTCTACTTGTTCCACTGGGTGTGATTTATATGAATCCAGAGTTGAAAGATGATTAAGGACTGTAAAGGATAAAAATATATTTATCTGCTCGCACCTTTAGAGCTCAAGAGAGAGGGATTGTTTTAAAATCTCTTTTTGTGTTTTTTTTTTTTTTTTTTTTCTTAAATGTTTCTCAAGAGACACCTTGTTGTTGGGCTTTAAATGGAAATAGTGAGAAAACAAAGGACTATTTTTGCATAAGGATTATCTTGCAGACTGGTGCTTGGCTTGTATCTCGATCACGATCGTGTCCATAGCTGAATTCGATTGGCCATTTTGACCAGAGATGTACAATTTGCGTCTCTCGCCGATTAAAGGGGTAGTTTATCCAGAAATGTAAATTCTGTCATCGTTCCCTCACCCCCATCTCAAACCAAACACAAAAGAAAAGTGTTTGTTTTCATTCACTGAAAGGCCAATGGGGTTCAGTGTTGTTTTGGACCCCGTTGACTTTCATTGCATGCACATAAAAGTGTTCTTTAAAAATATCTTCTTTTATGTTCCACTGAAGAAATAGTCATACAGGTTCGAGAAGACTTGAGGGTGAGTAAATTATGGCCGAATTGGATAAACTATCCCTTTAAGAGAAAAGAAAAATTGGGTAGGACATAAAAACAAAGTGTTTTTAGTCCGTAAACCTTTTTAGCTTTCTTCCCCCCCATTATCGCACACAAACACGCTTTTACAGCCCAGGGGGGTGGGAGGTTGTGCTTCTTATTGTTAGTCACTTTACTGTCTTAAGGTTCGGGCCTGACTTTGTGTGTGTTTGGGAGCGGAGGAGGGTTTACATTGCCTGTGTCCCAGGAGAGGAGGAGCAGAATGATTAAGTCTCTTCATGTTGCCCATGTCCCTGTTTGGGCAGCTGTGTGTGTGTGTGTGTCTGTCTGTGCTCACTTAGGCAAGCATGTCTGTGTCCGCACAAGTCACCATCTGTATACATTCCTTGCACATAGTTGGCACTGTGTGTTTGCATGTAGGTGATGTGTTGAGTCGGGGATTTAGGGGTTATGTGCCGGAGGCGTCTCATACGGATGCTTTTAAGGAAATTCGGCCGTCTGAAAGTTTGCCGTAACCCGTGAACTTTTGCATATCCCAAATTTTCTTCGGGATTTGAATGGGATTGCATGTGATGTCTTAATGTGTGCTCAGGCATGGGTTTTAAACACACATGCCTCACGAAAACAGAAATTCGATACTGTAGGCTATTTTAATATTTCATGCCCGAGTTATTAGGCCGTGCGTGTTTGTATAAGTCGTGTTTTTTCGCGCGTCTGATCTCCTGGGACACATACATTAGCCGCCCCTTTTCTGACAGAGGAAATGGACCTCTTTGCACCTTTTCGTAGACTGAACTAGAGCTTTTTGCACCTTTTTTGTAGAGAGTGGTGGATTGTGCACCTTTTTTGTAGAGTGTAATCGATGGTTTTTGGACTAAACTTCATGGATGTGTATGTGTCGGTATCTGGCCCGGAACAGAATGCACCCCTGCGTCTGCGGCCAGCCGTGCTGAATACTGATGTAAATATCGAAGAGACTATTGAACAGATTTTGACCACGTTTTTAACAGGTCGCTCGTCTTTTTAATTGATGGCTTACATTAGGTATTTCACCCCTCTTGTTTTAGCTCATGTTTTTATTTCATTTCTTTTATTTGCATAACCAAGTCTGGCTTACCTGCTGTTTGTATATCTGGAAATTGTAGTTTTGTTTTGTTTTCTGGCTTAAGAGTCGTAGCAAATAAAGTGAACTCCTGGCAAGTTTACTACTTAAATGCAGTCTGGTTCAGGTCTGACCGGTGACCTCATTTCTTTTTCTTTTCTTTTGGACCAGAAAACAATAATGCCTCTTGTGTAGAAATGTATAACATTCGAGAAGCCTGCAAAATCAACATCTGGTAACGTGCATGCATCCATTTCCTTCTCCGTTTTATTTCTCCATTCTTTTAGCAGACCACGTGTACTGTATTTACTTTTCAACTACTACTAATTCAAGGTGAAAGAGTTGACTTGCCAAGTTTTTTAAGGATACAATATAGAGTTGTTTGACTGATGATATAGAGTACTGAGTATTTTTTCATTTCTTTTTATCGACTAAAGTGCTGGGAAAGTGGGGGGCCATGGTGAGGGATGTACTGGTGCTATGTGTGCTATTCTTTAGATGTTAAAAACCTGCTGGGTCACTGGTGCCTTTTCAGGAGGACTGCAGGAGACGAACTGCGTGTGTATCTGGGTGGGGCGCGGAGCGGCGGTGCTCGTCTCTCTCCTCTCTCGCCAGCTATGACTGTGCCAGTGTTTATGCGTCCTCCATTTTGATGGCACAGATCACATATGCTGCATGCGTCGCTGGAGAGGAACCGCTGTGTCCATGCGCCACCTGCTGTCTGTGTGTTGTTACTGCAGCTTAGATTTACTACTTACAGTCAACACCAGGGGGTGGCATGCCTGAGAAAGATGACTCTTGGTGGCCACAAAAAATGGCCTTTCTCTTACTAGGAAGTTGAAGGTGATGTGTAATTTTTTTCATTGTTAAAATGCTACAAGTAAGCCATTTGAAGGTTGATTTTTATTGTTATTTCCCCCCAAAAGGCGTAACACTGTGGCTCTGTGGCGCTATCAAAAAGTTGCTCTGTTTGTTTGAGCATCACAACCAGCCCAAAAGAGCATCTACCCACGGCGCAAGTTCGAAATCATTATTTTTGTGATTTTTTTTTTCGTTTTAAATTACACACTTCACCTTTAAAGGATTTTTCCTTTACTTAGCCTCGCCTGGTATGAAAGTGGGAATGAAGGGACCAATGTTGATCAAAAAAGGCCGGGATGTCCATATCACGCCGCCTATCTGTCTGCTCTCTGTGCCCGAGTAAAGCACCTTTTTCCTGGGGTTTGCGTTCGTAGACGTGCTCCTCGGCACCTTGCAATTCAGTCTGACTGTGTCACGGAGCGCAGAGAGCAGATAGATGGCGGACGCCTGAGTGGGTGGAGAAAGAGCGTGAGAGTTTAACTGCCCATAAGTCTTGTCATTCTTCCTTGTAGCACAGTTTGTTGGGTTACTGTGCATTGTAGATCATTGTGAATCTGTAACCTGGTGGATCGCTGACAGCATGCCAGAGAAAGTACGGAGCGATGTATTAAACATTGAACTCTTTTATAAACGGTGACTGTCTTTCCTCTCTGCAAAAAGGCAGAAACCAGGTCCGTCTGTTCTGGAGCGACGGACTGGCTGTATTTTGCAGGCTTTCCTTTGGCTTGCAGTTTTCGCTACGTTTTTTTGTCAACCTAAGCCTCTTTACCCAGAATGCAGCACTGCTATTCCACTCTAAATAACAGACATACCACATAAAGATACTCTCACCTCTTTCTCTGCGTGTTGCGTTCTCTTCCAGCACACCCCAACACTCTGCTTTCAGTCTTTCCCTGAAATGAGATGATGATTATGATTAACCCAACTTTGCAAAAAAGTTGCAAAGTTTTTACTTTGGTAAAGTAACGTGTGACAGCCGGACAAATTGGCGTCTGGACTTTGTATCACGAATTACAGAGAAATACAGACAGGATAGGGGATGACATCAGCTCGCTTGAACACTCAAAACAACAAACCTTCTTTTACGATGCAGTGTCTCACTTTCTATGAATACATCCCTATACAAATCTATATACTGTATATTACATAGAAGCACTAATGAAGTTTGATTGTTAGTCGTGCACTCTCAGCATGAGTTGTAACCCATACCCAGCTGTGCTCATGCAGTGACCCTGTAACGCCAGTGCTCATCCACTCCATTCTGTCTGTGTTCAAAGTGCCAATAACTTTGTGAATCCCTAACTGTGACCCAATATTATCAAAAGTAATTGCACATTAACTACTGTAAAAAATGAGTAAGAGAAAAGTCAAAGGATACAGCTGAATATCTTAATAAAAGTTTGTAACAAAGGATTGTGTCTTTGACTGTTTGTTTGTGTGTTAAAGCAATTCTCAACTTTTTTTCTCAACTATGTAGGCCAGTAAAAAAAAAACTAGGAATGTCAATAGATTAAAATAATTGTGCTTTGTTCTGAACTGAACTGTATGATGTCAGTTTGCATGTTTTACATATTGATTCTACACTGTGGGAATATATATATATAGTGCACAGCATAAATGAGTACACCCCCTCTGAATAAATATAAAATATGGATTTTCTTAATGATCACTAATATAATTAATATGATTCATAGAAAGATGGCAAAATTGAAACATATTAAACATATACTTAATAAAAACATCTAAATATATGCCGATATTTTCTGTAAGATAAGTAAATTAGCCAATTTTGTATAAATGAAGGATTGCAGAAATGAGTACACCCTAGATTTAATTCAGAAAATGTATAATATTCTAGTACTTAGTATGTCCTCCATGACTCTTAAGTACACTGCTCTGACCCTTCTTGGCACTGAGTGTACAAGTTCATGACAAATTTTCACATCTGTGCTGTTTAACTCCTGGAGGACGACCTCCTTGAATGCTCTGGTCTTTAATGAGGAGTGTTGCTCAGCTCGTCTCTACAGAATCTCTCACAGCAGCTCAAGAGTGTTAAGATTGAGTGAAATACATGTCCACTGAAGGATTTTCACCTTGGGAGAATGAATATATTCACTGTAAGTAAAGAGTAATTGCTGAATTTGTTAAGTTTTAGAGGGGGTGTACTCATTTATGCTGTGCACTGTGTATGTGTATATATATATATATATATATATATGTATATACTGTATGTATCTCAATAACTATACTTTTTACATTTACTTGGGAAGCAAAATGACGTGAGATTTGAAGTCTTGTTTTTTGAAAAATACATCAAAATGTTGCTTAAAACAAGAAGGAAAAAAAGATCTGGCAATAGAGGAAAAATAAAGAAAAATAAACTTAATATATTAGTCTTATTTTCTGGAGAGAAAAAAAAAAAGATGTTTTTTGTTCAGAAAATAAGAGGTATTTGTACTGGAAAACAAGACAAATGTACCGAGTAAGAAAATAATTTTAGCCAAGTAACAGCTTTAGCATTTAAAGGTAATAATAATTATTATTTTTTTTTATTAATACTTTTAAAAATATTTTATTTTATTATTTTTAATAATACTTTTAAGACTTCTTGCAGCCCTCGGAAGTCTGGTGAGGCCACCTGAGAACCATTGTGTACATAGTAGTATGTTTAACATAATGCACTCTAACTGCAGTCTTTCTGGAGCGAGTACACTTTGACTAAAAATGGAGGTCTTTCCTGAATCCAACATTATGTAAGAATTCAAACTAATAATTTACATTTTGGGAAAGTAAATATTGAATGTCAAATAAAATTTTTATTTTTAAGGCACAGGACTTGCAAAGGTTTACTGTCTGCAGCCAACACTGCACAACACTTACTATTAAACTGGAGCCAAGCGGATATATATATATATATGTACCCAGTATTTATACTCAAAATTAATCAAACTAATCAAGCTCAAAATGGAATATTCTAATTTTTTGAGATACTGAATTTTTAATTTTCCTAAGCTGTAAGTCGTAACCATCAGAATTAAAACAAAAAAACTCTTGAAATATTTCAGTTTGTATACAATGACTCTAGAATATAAGAAAGTTTGCTTTTTTGAATTAAATTACAAAAAATAAAGAACTTTTCCATGATATTCACATTTTTTGAGATGCCCCTGTATATATATATATATATATATATATATATATATATTATCTTACAGCGAGACTCTTACCTCAAAATAACTCAATGAACTCTTTCCTTATTATATCAGGCTATTGTGTATTATCATGCAGACCTTGGGTGGTTATTGAGAGCTTTTACTGAGATCTAACCACAGAGAAATGTGTGCTTATGCAGCCTTTCTTCATACAATCTGCAATCCAGAAACTGAGTTTGAGTGCCCTTTTTTGACATTTCGTTATTTGTTTTATAAAATGGCCTTGAATAGATCCACTGCCTCTAATACAACACTATGTTGTATGAATAAAAAAAGGTCATTAGCATATCTCGTCTCGCATTCGACATTCACTCTGTAATATTATAGTTCCTTCCACCAAACCACTAAACGGAATGTAGACTGAATTCAGAAAGAAGAAACCCCTTTGGGAAAGCAACATTCAAACAACACCTGGGAATCTGTTCGATAAAATTGTGCTGTACGTTTAACGCGAAAACAGCTGGATACAATCCGTAAATGGGCAGAGGAAGTTTGACGCGCCCATGTCTTGTGAGGTTATTGGCTATGACGAAATCGTTTGAAGCAAATATTGCAACAGGAAGTAGCCCGAGCGCGCCCCCGCATCATAGGTTTTCCACAGAGCGGACCAACTAGCGGATGTTCCTTATATGGGCATAAGAGAATGAGGAAGCTAACAATATCCATGAGAATCAAAGTGTCTATTAACCCAGGCTAAAAAAAAAAAAGGACAAAAACTTTGTCATTGTGTTGAGTAAGAATAGAATAGAATAGAATAGAATAGAATAGAATAGTTAAAAATTACAATATTCAAAGTGTCATTGTGTTGGGTAAGATTATAATATGATATATTTTCATTAAAAATAACATTACTCGAAATTAAAAGTACCAATAAAACAATCATGTTATTACATTGGCATTGAGTTATTTCAGTTTTTCCCTTTTTAAAAGGTCATTGATAGTCGATGATTAATTTAGTAACTAATCACTAATCATCAAAAACCCCTCTGACAGATTACACCAGAAACAGAATGATACACGTTCTGACTTATTTCCTCAAACAGAGTCATGGGAGGAGCCAGAGTGTCAATCACAGCCGCATACGTCACCAAAACTATATAAAGCCCGCTGTCTTTACGCTGAGGTTTACTTCGGTGAATGAAACGACAGTGAAAGTGACCTGAGCTCAGGGGAAATTACGTAAACAGTGCTTGTATATATATATATTTTTTAAGTTAATTGAATAACTAAGAACAATGGATGTCACAGCAGAGGCCAAGCAGATTATGGTCCAGGCGTTGAGTAAAATATACAGCTCGCGCACGCAGCGCGGTGGACTCAGTCTCCACCGGAGCCTGCTGTTGACGCTCGTCATGAAATCTGCAAGGGACCTCTACCACTCTGCCCGGCTGACAAGCGAGAAAAAGGGGCAATCTGACACACACGGTGTCACAGAGAGCACAGCACAAGCAGAAGAGCCCATGGACATAACGAGCTCCACGACTACAGCCCTGCGCTCGACTGAGACACAGGCTACCGAGGATGGGCAGAGGTCCGGACTCGAGGGTCATTCACAAGTACACGACCCCGCGGGACTCGCAGTGGACAAAGAGAACTGCAACCCAGCCGGAATGGACCGTCACTCTAGAAAGCGGCGGAGCAAAGCAGCCACAGACCCTGACTTCCTACCATGCAAAAAAGCCAAACTGGAGTTCGCGGAGGTCAGAGGAATTCTCCAGGAGACCCAGAGTAACTCCGCCAACTGCGGCAGAGCGCTGGACTCACTGTCACTCGTGCCTATGCCGAGAACTATTGTCACGTTTTGAAAAGACTATAACCGCAATGGCACAACACAAGGACAGTAGAGTGAACACTATTGAGGGAAGCGTATTGTGGCGCGTATCTGCTGCCGAGTTCCTGCTGGAGTATTCAGGGCACTTGACTGATGTGGAGAAGTTAGTGGGTGATTACTCACAGTGGAACAATGTGACAGCCGATTACTCATCGGAGAGCAGGTTGTTTTGGAAATTTGTGACTAATGGTGCTTGTTCAACCCGTGTTTCTCTGATTCAGGACGTGACGCGGTACTATTACTTCTACGAGAAGTGTGACTGAGAGAACTTCCACGAATATTCATGTTCATAACTTTATTTTCTATTTATTTATTGACCAAGAATGGTTTCTGGTTGTTCTGTGTGTGTGGTTCAGACTGTATTCGTCTAAGGTGCTGTCAGGATTGGCCAGTCATTACACTGACTGGGATTTTTTGTGGACTTCTTGCTGGAAAATCCATATGTTTGCTGTGTTTTGGAACATTGTAGCTGGTTTCTTACTGGTCCAAACTAGTAGACCACCTCAGAAAGCAAACTATTGTATAACTAATTGTCAGGGATTTTCCAGCAGGTCAGCATGACATAAGCTACTACAAACAGACATCATGATGTTATGATGTACATCTACCTCACTTTTGTACAATAAAAGATTCTAAACCATCTCATTTCTGTGTGTGACGCATTTTGTTCAGACGTGTTTATCCGGGAAACGTTCTGACTGAGTCAGCTAGGCTTGCTGTGTGTAGTTGTATGTGTGCTCTGTTGAAAGTGTTCGCGGTCATGTGACCGGAGGTGCGGATTGCTTGCGGGCAGGAGGTGTTCGCAGAAGGCAGGATGCGGTGAACACATCAGGCCGGATGATCGCTACCGTCTCTTTTTTTTTTTCTCCACACTCCCACTTCTTTTCAACCCCCATAACCGGATCAGGATATGGGTAACAAAAGAATAGAAGCAGTAAAACGTTTAAGTCATTTACAGGTTATTAATGGACCATTAGCAACTGTAATTGAACCCAAACTTAACGCTTCTTTTATTTATTAGCCATCGACTTTATTCTGATTGCTTTCTCTATTTAAAGGCTACGCTTAAATTGTCCTAGTAGGCTATATGTGAATTGTTGAAAGTGTTCGCGGTCATGTGACCGGAGGTGCGGATGGCTCGCGGGCAGGAGGTGTTCGCAGAAGGCAGGATGCGGTGAACACATCAGGCCGGATGATCGCTACCGTCTCTTTTTTTTTTTCTCCACACTCCCACTTCTTTTCAACCCCCATAACCGGATCAGGATATGGGTAACAAAAGAATAGAAGCAGTAAAACGTTTAAGTCATTTACAGGTTATTAATGGACCATTAGCAACTGTAATTGAACCCAAACTTAACGCTTCTTTTATTTATTAGCCATCGACTTTATTCTGATTGCTTTCTCTATTTAAAGGCTACGCTTAAATTGTCCTAGTAGGCTATATGTGAATTTGTGAGTGTGTATTCAACCAACCTTACATCACAATGCTGCCATCCAAACCGCAATGAGCGAAATGGATACAAACCATTTTCGGCGGTTGAAGTCTGTTGAAGTTCGTCTTTTGGCGCCTTGAGCACAACTATCAACTTAGCAAATTGCTTATCTTATTTTATAAAACCCAATATTTATGTGAAGATATACATAAGTGATGCAGATTTACTAAATTGTTTACTATACTATAGCTAGTACAGTATAGTATATTGTTTCCCGCATCGTCACTAAATTGTTTACTATATATATATATATATATATAGCATATTCACAGATATATATATATATACATATATATATATATATAAACCCTGGACCACAAAACCATTTTTTGATAGATAAATACATAAATAAGCTTTCCATTCCATTGATTGTTTATTAGAATGAGACAATATTTGGCCGAGATACAACTATTTGAAAATCTAGAATCTGGGGGTGCAAAAAAATCAAAATATTGAGAAAATCGCCTTTCAAATTGTCCAAATAAAGTTCTTATCAATGCATATTACTAATCAAAAATTAAATTTTGGTATATTTACAGTATGGAAATCTACAAAATATCTTAATGGAACATGGTCTTTACTTAATATCCTAAATATTTTTGGCATAAAAAAAATCGATAATTTTGACTCATACAATGTATTGTTGGCTATTGCTACAAATATACCAGTGCTACTTATGACTGTTTTGTGTGCAGGGTCACACACACATATATATATATATATATATAAACTGCATTCTGTCTGTCTATCTATCTGTCTGTCTGTCTGTCTGTCTATATAAGATAGCATGCAGTTAGAACAGATTGTCTACACTAAAATCTTGTAATTTCGTTCAAAACCCAAGGTATCTATCTATCTATCTATCTATCTATCTGCCTATCTGCCTATCTATCTATCTATCTGTCTGTCTGCCTGCCTGCCTGTCTGTCTGCCTGCCTGCCTGCCTGCCTGTCTGTCTGTCTGTCCATCTAGCTGTCTATCTATCTATCTGTCTATCTGTCTGTCTATCTAGCTGTCTATCTATATAAGATAGCATGCAGTTAGAACAGATTGTCCACACTAAAATCTTGTAATTTCGTTCAAAACCCAAGACCTGATTTGCACTGTGGCGTTATATTAACAAACACCGTGAATTAGATGGAATAAATATGTGTAATAGATACATAAATCTGCATTTGGGCCATGTGTATAGTTACTGTTGACGCAGCAGATCATGCCCCATGTTGGAACTGGGAGGGGTAAGGGTGCAGGAAGCAGGAAGTGGGGCAGGCGCGTGAGAGAGGAATGTGCCAGTGAGCGGAAGGAGGTATTAATAGACTAGAGGAACGACAGCACCCTCCACACATCCGCACATCTGGCCGACATACAGCAGACAGCCAAAGGGGAGGGGAGCTGCTGAATGCCTGTGTGGCCCATCGATTGTCATGCTAATGGGATGAGTCTCCCCCTCCCTTTCCTTGTGGAGTCTGAAACCTGAGCCTCCAGTGTCTGAACTCTCACAGGAATGCACTGTTAGCTCCTGCAATCTCCTGACCAAACGACTTTACAACACTCGGATCAGCAGAACTACATATAGGCTAAAGTCACGCAGGAGCAGAAAAAGGACAGAGCAAGGGTAAAAACAGAAGGCACAAGCTAATCATTTATCAAGCTACCTGATGATACAGTAGATTTAAGATTCTGAGCTATTTAACTTGTGACAATGACCATATTGATGGGTTAGTTCACCCAAAAAAATGAACATTCTGTCGTCATTTACTCTCCCATGTTGTTCCAAACCTGCATGACTTTCTTTATGAAAGCCTGTTTCTGCCACAGAAAAAAAAAGGTAATTGCAGTTTTTTATCTCACAATTCAGCCTCTGTTTCTCGCAATTCAAAGTTTATATCTCACAATTATGACTTTTTTTAAAGAAAAGAAAAAAAATCATAATAAAACTGTGTGTGTGTGCTGGCAACAAAAATTGAATTGTAAACTCAGAATTCTGATTAAGAAAAGTCAGAATTGCGAGATCAGAATCAGTTTATATTCCGTAAATCCTGCTCAAAGCACTTTCTCCCGACCATACTCGGTACTTGACCTCTGAAGCTCTGGAGGTGTCCTATGACTACTCCTGTGGTCTGATCCCTCTGTGTCAGATAAGGCTGAAACAGGAGAACGAGACTAAATGCTCTGTGTACACTCAATCATGCCCCACATTCTTTGGAAATTATGAAATAATCATAAACTCAAAACCATAGTGAAAGCATGGCTTTCAAAACGAAAAACCACAGAGTTTTGCGCACACCCCAGGTCTGAATCAAAAACAGCAAGGATTTTGTTCTTGACTCTTTTATTTCTTTCTTTTTTTTGTGACAGTAGTCATATTGACGTGCCCTGAACATAGTGTTGAAGTGTCTCTCCTTCTAGTTGGCAGAAAAACGGCTAAAAACTAAAAGAAATAAACAACTTTCAAATTGCATCAAAGTGATTTTCCTCCCCAGAATATGCGGTTATTTTTTTTGTTCGTTTTAAAAAATAGAGCATAAAGGAATATATTACTTTAAAAAAGATTTATCTGTACCTGTGTGTTTTTCTACAAAACATTTCATATTTTTCTGTATTCCTGCAGTTGACTTTTTATCAAACGCTGTGGCATGCACATTGCACATGCAGTTCTCGAGGTAAATGCTTCTCTACATTTTTTTTTTCTGACAAAAACTTGCTTATTTTTTGTTTCTTCTTTTTACAGTGCGACTCCCACATCGGCATTGTATTTTTAATTGTCACTTGTTTTGCCAAACATGAACTGAGGTTGTTAGTAATGATTAATTATGACAGACAATGGGAAATGTCAATGTCCTTGTCTTTTCTCTCACAGCCACACACACATCGAGAAGTTGAGATTACATCACGCATGCAAATGAGGATGACTGAAAATCATTCGCTTGGTGAATATTGTCAAACACATCATCATGGACCTGATCACAAACATATACACACACCGGTCACAGAGACACATCATTTCCTTGACTCTTCTTGCAACTCAAAACAGGTTGGTATTGCATATATAGATACTCTCCTTATAAAAAACTGAAGTCTCATGAAGCTAAATGCCTGACACGGATAAAAGAAACCAAGAGACAGCTTCACTGCAAACCGACACATTGCAGCTGTATAAATGTGTAAAGATGGGATGTGCGGGCTAAATAACGTTGAATAAGGCACTGATTAATCTCAGTAATAGATTCCTAAGAATGCAGTTCTCAAAGAAACAATGACAACAAAAACTAATAACGCTCAACTAGCAAGGGGAGACATGAAACTTGGATCCTGTATCTAGTGTTTACATCCATATACTCACCAGTTGTGGACACACTTAAACATACAGTCTCAAAGGAGAGCCACAAACTTACCAGTTTCATCAGTAATGCTACATACAGGACTCACTCGACTCGAGTGGGATTGTGCGTGATAATATGTTAGTAAATGCTACATACATCGTCTAATTTGCACATGCTGCAAAGTTGGACTCGTTCGGCAGCGTGTCTGTGTATGCCGAGTCATTCCACAGAGGATCTGCCTCGTAAAGAAGACTGAGATGACGATGGTAATATGGGCCGAAAAGACACAAAGATCAGTGGGACACAAGAGACAAGTTTTGGCAGAAAAGGCCCGGTCATTGTTTCACCCATGCAATTTGATTGGCTGTGTTACATGTTCCTGTGCAGTTTGATTGGCTGTGTTACATTTCCTGAACACAGAACGGCGCACCATCGGTGACAGACACATAGTACTACTCTCAGTGTACAGGTCATTGACATAAACATGGAACAGAAAAAGGTGAGACTGACAGAGCCAGAGCCACTGGCTGCAGAACAATGTAGATCACAGCGCCATCTGCTGATCTAGTAGAGGTAGTGGAGCTCAGTTACCTTCTCACCATTTACTGGCATATTAAAATGTCTTGGGGACTTCTTCGTTTAAAGCAGTGGTTCTCAATCTTTAATATATTTAAAATATTAAATCTATTTTAATATAGAATTTATTGAATAAATAATTCAATTTTAATAAATAATTCATTTAATAATTTAAGTCCTCTCCAATTTTTTTTAGTTGAGAACCACTGGTTTAAAAGTAAGAAAAAACATTCTAAATAGTAATAATTCTAGATAGATAATTATAACAAATAATTTAAATAAATAAAATAAAATCCTTTAAAATTAAGATTATTACTAAAAGAGTGAAAATAGATAATAATAATAAAAATGTAAGAATTTTATGCCAACCTAACCAATCGTTGTTTACTTAGCTTATATCTAAATGCTCTTTAAAGATGTATATAACACGTTTGTATCAATATGGTTGATAACTAGTCAGCTCTTCCTCTAATTTCTTTTATCCTTTTCATTTTTTTTCTTTCTTGATAAAAAGTGTTCACAGTTACAGAGACTCGAGATCAGATGCATGCTTCGAGCTGTCATTAACGCTCAATGATATGGCTGAGAAAGTGTTTCCATGGAAACATCCGAAGTCGTCGAGCTACCGAGGACGCCGGCTGAAGGTCAGATGGGTTTCTGTCATGGCCCATAACGGATCACTATCACAGAGCTCCACACACCATCTACACAAAACTCACACGAAAACAAGTCTGGCAATACAAAGAGCAGCTGAGGCAAATACAAAAACAGATAGAAAAACCAAATGATAAGCATCATCATCATTATCATCTTCATCACCATCAATTATCGTCATTTATGCAATCATCTTTATACACACATTGTCATTATCGACATGAAATCATATGTAAAGTTGGAGAGGTTCTCTCTCTCTCTTTTCTCCCCCCCTCAACTCTCCTTCTCTGCGTTTACCCTGGAAGACTGGAAGAGCACGTTTACGGCGGTGTAAGGGAAAAGAATCACATGTGTCATTTATATCATTGATTGTATCTTGTTTGCATTGTCTTTATTTGATCCCATTGTTTTTTAATAGAATACTGTATGATTTGAACTATGTAATTATAACATTTTTTAGTATGTATTTTTAATTACATTTTATTTTAGGGTGACTTGTAACATCTTGTCCAGGGACTACGGATGTAAAATAGCCTTGGCTAATTCTGGTACATTTACAGGAATGTTTTATTAATGTACAATGTCCCTGTCAACTAAATAAATAAATAAAATAAATAAATATGTTTGTGTATTTTATGTGCTACTATATCTGCATTTTTGTGCAAGTGAGCAAATGATCTTTACACTGATAGAGGAATGTAAATAAAAAGGTTATAATATGTCAAGCTTAAAAATAATTGTGCTATCCATTTATGTTTGATTCCGAATTTGGCACCAAATCTGGTAGAAAACATTGCGAACATCTCTCTGGTCACCCATTTACTGGTTTGAACCCTTTCCTCCTTCAGGAGAGAGGGATCTCAGAGAGGCGTGAGAGAGAGAGAGAGGGTGCTGATGGGAGAGAGAGAGAACGTCACGGACATGACAAAAGAGCCAAGGAATCGATCCCCCCTCCCCCTTTTTTATCCAAAGTTTCTTTATGTATTTTTTTAAACTTGTTTTTTTTTTTTCTCTTTTTTTTCAATCATGCAGGATTTCCAAGGGATTTATTTTCTGTTCAAACAAAGCTGGGCAGTGCAACAGAAGATTCAAACTCCAATGTTTCCAACGAGAAGCAGAAGACGAAGCCGTAGAAGAAGAAAGAGTGAGGAGCTTTTCATTTTTTTCTCTCCTATTATTATTATTATTTTGTTTGTGATTCTTCTTTCTTGCGTTTGGGGGTCTGAAGTGCAGGGTGGGTTTTCCTGTTTTAGTTCAGGTGAGTTCATCTCCGCCCATCTCCAACTCCACCCACAACTTACCCGCATGGGCCAACGCCTCCCCCTCACTGGGATAATTATTAACAGTAAACACAGATGATAAAACTCATCGATATTTCCCAGCATCTGGACTGATTTTTGCAATAAACGAATCTCAAGTCAAGTTCTGTGAAATGAAAAGTGATCCACCTTCTTTTTCTTTTCTTTTTTAACGAGTGCTAAAGAGTTCCTAGCGTCTCATTTCCGGAGGGACTGCGTGAAATGTCCTGGGGAAAAACAGTTCAGACATTCCTCCTCCTTATCAAAACATTTTTATATTCTTCAGAAAAAGGCTAAGAACAGGATTTCGTATTCATAAGTCTTCATATTCACTGTCAGCGGTCCGTCGCTTTCAGGGAAACACTCGGCAGCAGAGGAATCGGAAAAGAAACGAGAAATAGAAAGAAATGAATCATGCCTTGATTTCCCCTGTGAACATTCAGAGCACTGCCTAGTGTTTCCCCGGACAGAGTGGCCAATCCAATGAGAGTATCACTTCACCGTGAGAGCGCGGCAGGACTCACCCCTCCCCGTCCCAGAGGCTAGCACCAGTCATCCTCATCAGTCTCACTGTAGGGTTCGTGGAGGCCCTTCCTGGGCCCTCTGGGATGAGGAGGCTTATGAGTTCCCGGGTGGGCGGGGGTGTGGTGGTGGGGAGTGGGCGAGGACGAACGGTAGCCGTTTGGCACGCGCCGTGGATGTGGCTGGCCCTGAGGGGGGGTGCTGTGGCGGGAAGTCCTGGGGGAATGTGGGTGAGGGTTGCCCTGCACAGGGAGGGGCTCGTAGGACGGAGGCTGCGGGGCGTGCTGGTCCCAGAGGTGGAGGGGACTGGACTGCCGCTTACTGAACTACTGCCCTACATGAAAATGGAACAAGGCAAATAAAACAGAACCACAAAATTAACCACACAACAAGAAGAAGGACAGTAGGAGATGGCACATACACCGCAGTCAGAGAGGAAAGAGCGCAGTCACGAGAGAGAGAGATACAAGAATGAGAGACATTGCAAAGCAGCAAGATGCAAACAGCCATAAAATAAACGACCAAACGTGAAGCAACATATCACAGGGAAAAGAGAGGACACAAGAAAGAAAAGAACAACAAAAAGAATTGAATTCTGTTGCAAGTGTGAAAGTAACTTGTTTAATTTTGGTCTTGACAAAACTAGGCTGGGTGTTGTCAATACAAATGAAACTGAAAAAGAATTCATTCAGACTGGTCACATTATTGTTGGTCCTGACTATCACAATATTGTTGGAAATAACATTGTCACAATATAAATAAATAGCATAAAATGACTGGAACAGATATAAAATGTTGATTCTTGAAGTTAATCATCATGCTTTAATACAAGAAACAGATGGGTTCTCTGCACAAATCATTTCACTAAATCAGTATTTTAGTCGTGTTTTTCAGTAAAAATACCAAAACATCCTTAAAACAAGATTTACTCGAGAAGCAACAACAACAGTATAGAGTATATGTAAAATATAGAATTAAAATATAGTTTAATTCTTAATTAATTCAAGTTCATAAAGTTTTAAATAAAGTTTAAGTTTTTTCTTGTCTTTTCTAACAATGTTTATTCTTAAAACAAAATAAAAAACTATTTGCTAATGAGTTAGGAACATTAAACCCAATTAAATTATGATTGTATGTTTAATGTTTTAAATAACTTGGCTTCTCAAGTAAATGTTACTTTTTAAATGGATGTTTGGATAATTTTACCCATAGTAAAAAAAAAATGCCATAATTTATTTCAAATACATTTATTTCATACTACAAATCTATTAACATATTTATTAACATAGTATCACTTAATACTTACTGATATTAAATTATAGGTCTAATTAAACTTTATTTGGAGTATTTCTTTATTGCACAATGCACATTTCTTAATATTAAGCCTAAAATGTGTTTTAATATCACTATTAATAAGGATTGTGTGATCTCTGTATAATATCAGTCTTTAAATGCAAGATATTTAAAGTGTATCTTAAGTATACTTGCAATAGTTCCACTTTAGCACAATCAGATATACTTCAGTATATATTTAGTTGGACCTCAGCACTACTTCACAATTAAACTGCATAATAAGCACAAAATTAGTTGTTCCAATTTAGCAGACTTTAAGTATACCAGATTAGTATACCAAAAGTACAATTGCAGGGTATTTTATTAAGCACATAAATGTGTACATTTATTTGTAGTATACTTAGCACAAAATAAATGTAAATACATTTTAGTATACAGTAGTCAACATTTGAAGTGGATCAAAACCTTTCATCAAAGTTGTCCTAAAACCTAAAACCAAAATGCGTTCTTGTCTTAGGACAACTTTGATGAACATTTTTGATCCACTTCAAATGTTGACTACTGTATTTCTGTCAGGACCATTATCGTCAAAGATGATTGACAATTAGCATACAGTTTGGATTGGCGGTATGGTTCTGTTCTGGGCAAGAACTCCCTGCGCATCCATGCAGCCTAGCATGGATGAGAGCAGGGAGAGCAGTTATTATGTACCCCCAGGGTACATAATAATTGTATGTACACATTTTAGAATTTGTCTGATTCAAAGGATAATCAGAAGGCTGAATCCTGACTGACAGAGGAGGAGCTGGGGATGGAGAAGGGTAATTAGCTATTGAGCAATGCAAAAACTGCTGATAATACTGAGGGACCTTATATATGAATGCTTAGATAGGTGTCGTATTCCTATAGGTAGATGGGGATCAGCTGAGAGTCAGCTGATGCGAGCTTGACTAACATGACCTGCCAGAACTAACGCTACGCTTGATATATTTGTTCTTTTCACTAGGGACCGAACAACAGTGAAAGCAAATTACTGATAAAGTAAATAATTTTTTTCAGTGCTGCAGAAATGTTCAACTGTAATGTGTCTCTATGTGCATTATGAGCACATGTTCACATGTTATGAATGAATCGCCCACCTGTCTGTGAGTCAGGCACTCTCTGCCCTCACTCGGTGAGCGGGACCAGCGGCGGTCTCTCTCTCTAGACCCTCTGTGGCCGTAGTCCCCTCGTTCTCTCTCGTGTCCGTAGTGCTCCTTATCTAGAGAACCGTGATGGTGATGGTGATGATGGTGGTGCTTGCGGTCTTTGGCCCGGCCCCGGTCCCTCTCCTTGGATGGCAGGTCTCCTGACTGTGTGGTGGTGCTGAGGTCAGTGCCAAGACCTGCTAGGCCACAGCCAGAGAGAGGAAAAAGGGCATTACTATTAGCTCTCCTTCTAATAGTAAGAGAAAATGCCATCAGTACCATTATTTTACATGCGTTTGTCTCTGACCTGTGTCAGCATCAGTGTAGCGGCTCAGGGAGCGTTCTGATGCACGGTGACTGCGGTCTCGGTGGCGATGCCCATGTCTGTGACCCTCTTCTGGGATAACCCTGTCCATGGCATAGTCCTCACCCCGCATTGAACGGCCTTGACGCCCGTGGCCCAAAGATGAAGCTGAACGCTTCATCGGACTGTTATCGGTGATGGTCTGCTGAGAGAGCCGGCACAGGAGAGACAGAGAGAAAGAGGTAGGGAGAGAAAAGACAAGAGAGCGAAGGAAGACAGAGGATTCTGTTTATTGGAAATTAATGGGTCTGGAAGATTTGAGAAGGAAACTTCATTTCCGTAGTATTTCGTAACGGCAGGCAGATGGTCGTATGAATGTACGGCCCTGTTTACATCTGGTATTAACATCCGTCTTGGGTGAGTGGGAAGGTCTCTGATTTTGTGACTATATACACATCACTTGCATTACTGTTCAAATGTTTGGGGTCAGTAAGATGTTTCGAAAAAAGAAAAAAAGGAAGAAATATTTATTGAGCAGTAAATCAGCATATTGGCATGATTTATGATCATGTGACACTGAATACTGGAGTAATGATGCTGAAAATTCAGCTTTGCATCACAGGAATAAATTGCAGTTTTAAAGTGTATTAAAAAAGAAAGCAATTATTTTACATTGTAATAATATTTCACAATACTACTATTTTAACTATAATTTGATCAAGTAAATGGAGCCTTGGTGAGCAGAAGAGACTCCTTTCAAAAAAATCTTAAACTTATATAATCCAAAATTTATATTTACGTCTCTCTAAAACAAATCTTATAAGCATGTTTAGATATTTCACTGGAAAACAAGACGAGCACCATGCTTACATCTGTATATAGTGCTGACAATTTGTGCCCAATCATATGTTAATACCAGGTGTAAATGGCGTCTATGATGACTTAAAACGTGTGTTTAATTCTGTAGGTCTGGGAGTTGGTGTGGTTTGCTTGTGTATGACCTGATGGACACACTCAGACGATACCAGCGAACAACTAAAGAAATTCACCATGCAGAATCCGAGTAGAAGAGAAATACAGAAAAAATATGTTAAAAAAAAAAAAAGAGAGAGAAACTTAAAAATAGTTGCAAAAGTTCGTGCCTTGCATGCATCAAGGACTGAATCTATAAAAAGTAAAAAAATACTCATTCACATTTGAGAGAAGCACATTTCTTCAGCAGACCTCTCTCTTCATCACTCACAGTCATGCACACCACAGAGAGAGCAGAGAGAGAGGCCTGTCCAGACTTTCAGAGAGGATGTGTGGGTCAGCACCAGATAAATGGTCCAGGAAGAGGGACGTGCAGAGTGGGGTGGTTTGTAGTGGCTCAAGCCCTGGACCCTTTCCACTCGTCGGACCTTGTGTGATCTTAATGATCTCATTAGAGCCTGTCCTTCTCATAAAAGTGTGAATTCGACTGTTTTCACTATCAACACTGACACCTAGAGGCATGGATGCAGCATTGCATACAATCAAGGGTTTTCAGTTATTGACTCGTCTGTAAAAAAGACATGGAAGTAAGCTATTTTCTCACCCACTTCCATTACAGTAGCATTATGTATGTAAGGTTTTTTATTATTATTTACAATGATTAGATTTATTTAAAATATATATATATATATTTCTTTTGCTGTGGACTAGTAGTTGTTTCTTCATCATATGTTGCATTCAACAACTATATACCAGTATAGATGTAGGTGTAACTCAATAACACATTCAAAGTTTTCTTAAAATAAAAAATAATAAAACAACAAATAAAAAATGCCCTAGAAACACATGCCCTTTTCCCCCTTCAGCCCACTGAACACCAAAAGATCTCTGCACGTCTCTGCTCAAAAGCACAGTCACACATAAACACACACACACCAGCACAGAAAACGGCACACTCACACTTAAAGACCATGGACACATATGCACACAAAACATAACATGCACATGAACACACAGCACACAATGAGTGTTGCAAAGCACACAGATAGCAGATATACATGAGGGGGAGGCAGACAAGGAGTTTTGTGTGATTTGATCTGCACACAAATCTGTCTGAAAATATGTCTGTACCGTACAGATAATAATAATGCCCCAGTATGCAAATGTTGACTTGAGTAACAAGAAAATTGTGTTAGACTTGATAATTTTGATTCATTAATGCGAATCAGTTATAACTGTCTATTACAATGAATAGCTTAAAGACTCTTCACAACTGAATCAATGATTTGTCTGTCAATACTAAAAATGTTCACAGAAGTCCCTCAGAATATTAAAACGTTTTAGTAAAAATATATCTATATAAATATTAAATTTTCTTTTAAATATAGCAATAAACAGAAATATTAAATGAGCCTTCCTTAATTGCTTTCATTCTGTTAAAAAGGATTTTACTGAAATCTTTACTGTATTATGGTTGAAATGTTTCCTCTGAATGAAGAAAAAAAAAAGAATAATGTCAAAAGGCCAATAAAACCCATATTGCAATAATGAACGTTTTTTCCAGTATTTTTTTTTCCTGAGATATTCAGGCACGAGTTATGTGATTTCCAGGGAGACAGAAAGTCAAACTGAGAGTGATAATGGAAAAAAAGTAATAATGAACGAGAGAGGTTGCACATACAGTGAGATTATCTCCCCGGTGCCGTCCTTTCCTCCGTGGCTGCTGAACAGCCATTTCCATACAAACACAAGACACCACAAATATGTCCATACAAATACACACATAGAAAGCACATAGGGCCGCAATTCCACAAGACAAAAGCACATTAACAGTGGGTGACCCCAGGCATGAGAGAGAGAGAGATTGCACCCAAAAAAATAAAAAGTTGGAGATGGGGTTTCGTGCATGAGTAAAGGAGGATGGGGTGGACAAAAACACAGAGTGAAAGAGGGGAGGAAATAGAGAGAGATATAAATAAAGAGAGAAAAGAGAGACACAGAGAACCTGGTTAGACACAGAAGCAGTGGAGACAAAAAAAAGACACTTACCACAGCAGCACACACACTGAGGACCAGAGGCAGTGTTAGAGACACATCACAGTGCACCACACAGAATGATACGGTGAGGAACAGTACAGTGATCACGAGACACAGTGCCCATAGAGAGGTATACTACTACAACACTGCGCACACATACAGTACGTATAAGCATGAGACCACACCAACAAAACTCTCTTGTACTTGGTTTCAGAAATTTATGTAAATCACTCTCACACTAGTACATGTTGAGTGTTGTGTAAGTACAACACATACACTACCTTTCAAAAGTTTGGGGTCGGTAAGATTTTTAAAATGTTTTTGAAAGAAATCTCAAATGCTCACCAAGGCTGCATTTATTTGACCAAAACTGTGAAATTAGTACTATTGTGAAATATTATTACAATTTTACTGTTTTCTGTTAAAAATGTAATTTATTCCTGTGATGGCAAAGCTGAATTTTCTGCAGCCATCACTCCAGTCTTCAGTGTCACATGATCCTTCAGAAATCATTCTAATATGCTGATTTGCTGCTCAGTAATCATCAGTTATTGTTGGTGCACAATTATTTATAATGGTCATCAGTTCTTATTATTATCAATGTTCAAAACTGTTTTTGCTGCTAAAAATTTACAAAAACATTTTTTTTCAGGATTTTTTGATGAATCAAAAATTTAAATGAACAGCATTTATTTGACATAGAAATGTTTTGTGACAGAAATGTCCTTGCTGTCACTTTTGATCAATTTACCGCATTCTTGTTAAATAAAACAATTAAAAAAAAACATACATAAAAAAAATGTACTGCCCTCAAACCTTTAAACGGTACTGTAATTACATAAACTAACACGCACACAAACACATGCTCACACAAATCTCAGTACCAACTCCCAAGTCACTGCTTGATTCACCTCAAATTTCACTGAGCTTTATGACCCTAAATGAAACACAATTCAAACTTGGCCAAAATATAATAAAAACAAAAATAGAGCGGAAGCATATAAAGTAATACTGGGCTGTAAATACAGAACTTCATTTTTTTTATAGTAAAGACAATGTAAAAACACTGAGTAATGTCTTTACTAAGGGAGGAAGTCAGAGTTAGGCAAACTCAAAATAAAAATAAGAATTTAAAGAAAAATAAAGGTACAGAGAAGGAGAGAAGGAAAGACATATTCACAGAAATTCAAGGAGACAGCATGAGAAGAGAGTTTATTCAGAAAAAAAGGAAGCAAACCCAACCCTGTTTTTCTAATCTCTCAGCTCTTCAGCTCCCACAGCATCATGGGATAGCCAAGTGTGCACTTGTTATAGATTTTAGAATCACAGTGGATGCAGGGTCATGTCATGTGGGTATTGTGTTTAATGAATACAAAGCCTCCAGATGTCGTTCGTGTGACATCATGCTTTTTGTATAATGTGTAGCAGGGAAGTGTGTATATTAGGGTCTGTATGAATGAGGAGGAGGCTACTTGATGACCAGTGATGAGAAACATGAAAAAAAAAAAGTTAAATTATACCCTGTAGACCATCTAGACCTGCATCAAATATGCATCATAAGTAATGAGGGTGCATGTTGTAATATGCTAGATATCATGTATCTAGACAATTATAATAAGATAGTGTTTGAATGCAAAAAAAATTATTCTTGAATACATCACATATATTCAAACACATATTCTGATAATTACAAATACTTAAAATGCATATTTATGGCAGGTATGCTGATAAAACTATGAAATACTGACCGATCAAGCTTTGTTTCTTGTGGAGTGCCTCAAGGATCTGTTCTGGGCCCAACATGTTTTTTTCTCTCTCTTTCTCTTTTTCTTTCTTTCTTTCTTTCTTTCTGTCTCTCTCTCTCGCTCTCTCTCTTTCTTTCTCTTTTTTATGTGCAACATTAAAAGGCATATTCCTTAGAAACTAACATTTTTCTTCCTAATTTTCTCTGTTGCAAAGATGAATATACTACTTGATCCAAAGTATGTAGACACCTGAAGTCCTGAACATATGTCCCTAATGAAAATGTAATTCATGTTGCTATACCATCTTACACATTCCAACTCAACAGACTGCATCGTAGTATACTTGACTTAATGCACCATTTAGCCATAGAGTATTGTTATGACTTAGCAACTTAACATAATTGACTTGTTTGTGTAATTCACCCTCACACTTGCTCATATAGGACATCAATCCATTGCAGATGCTATAATTGATTTTCTTTGCTTTATCTGGTCAATGGGCACATTTGTTTAATGCAAAGGCAGCAATGGAAAGTGGGTTGGAGGGTCAAGAAAGGAAGGACAGATGTGAAAAGTGGGTTAGAAGAAAAGGAAGGGGGAAAACACGAAGGAATGACAGGATGAGGCGCTCACTTGGTTGTCTGCTGGGAGTCGAGGCATGGAAGCAGCCCTGCCATGGCCTTCCATCGGCAGATAGTGCTCAGTGTCCGAGTACCTGTCCCGCCCCATCTCTCTCATCTCTACTGTCTGCAGAAACAGAGGGAGACCATGCATGACTGCCCAGGGACAGCAGGCAAGAGCGAATGCCAGGGGCCTGAGAGACAGGCCTAAGCACAGTGGATGGAAGGAGGACATCTCCACCTTCATCTCTCCCTTCACCATGTATGGAGATGCAAGAGTAGCAGGACAGTCCTGCCCCAGCCTCTGTTCTATACATCACTGCTTTTGGGTTTGCAAAAAGTACATGCATATGCAATACATGCAGGGCTTCAACTGCAGGATCACTGAGAGAAGATCAGGAGATTATGGTATAGAAACTACTCTCTCTCTCAGATCACAAACAGGATATTCTGTGAACCAGCTTCAAATACATAGACACACATCTCTTGACTCAATTATGTTTAAGCACTTCTTTTAAAGGTTTAGACATCATTTGCTCACCCTCACATTCTTCTAAACAGTATGACTTTCATTCTTCCGTAGAACACAAAAGGAGGACTTTGAAGAATTTGCTGGTTACTCCTTACTGTGCAATTACAATAAATGGGGACAGAAGCTTCCAAGCTCCAAAAAAGTTGACAAAGAAGAATTAGGAATGATCATTCAAAATGATCTGATGCCATATAATAACAACTATAAAAAAGACCAAAATATAAGTTGTGATTCATACATTTCTTTTACAAAGAGCTGTTGAATGCTATGAGTGAACTGAACACTGATTCAAACAGACTGGTTTTGTAAACTCAGTCAACTGATTCAGTCATTCATTCATAAGATCTGACTCAAATAAATAATTTAAACATGAATCAGACATTGCTTTTCTTATGAACATAGATGTTAAGATTTTCCCAGTAAATAGTGACATGAACCTCAGTCATCTAACTACCATATGCCTTCAAAAAATTTAGTGCACAACTTTTATGGACCATGTGTTTTTATTTTTTGGTCATTTTGGAGATCAACAACCCCAGTCCTCATTCTCCATCATTATGTTGTAATGACCGCTCAGGATATTCTTCAAAAAATCACTGTATGTTTTATAGAAAAAAGAAAGTCATATTAGCTTTGATTGACATGAGGGTGATTAAATAATGGCATTTTTAATTTTTATTTTTTTAGGGTGAACTATGTCTAAGCTCTTGCAATCAAAAAAAATCTGTTTTCACTGAACAATACTATCTCACTGTTTCTGACTTTCATCTGCTCAGGAAAGCTTGACTTTTTCTAATCAACTTTAGAACTGTGTTTTACAGCTTTTCTTTTGTTACTTCTTATGCTGCCTTCTTCATTGATAAGCTCTGGATGCTGTTCCTGTCATGAATTTAATGAATAGTTGAGCTGGGCAGGAGTGTCTCACCTCCTGACAGTACAATGACACTTAAGACTGCGGAAGGGTTTCAACACCCTTCCCAGACAGTCGAATATGGATGCATATATTCAATGACATGAGCTTCACCGTACAAAGCAGACATGTGAGAGTAATTAAATAATTTAAACAGTAACAGAAGGACACACAGACTGAGGGGAAATATAAGAAAGAGAATAAGAGAGTGTGGAACATAGTCCACCGAATTCAGATTTTACTCAGCAACAGAGAAGGGCCTTTGTTGCTGTCTGCCAATGAGATGCACATGGATGAGGGATAGACAGACCAGCCATTCAGGGTTATGAAAACAAACCGCTCCAATGGACACCCTCCACAAAAGACTGTGAATATCTGAGTTGCTGTCTTATAAAGGCAGAGAAAACATTATTGATCCACTGAGACGTCCCATGGTTTGCCACTACATGAACGTTCTGAACTCTAATAACAAATATTATCATGCTGTGAGGGAGTTATATGCTGCTGGAGAATTCATAACTGATGAAATAGTGGTTCTCACATCACAAAAATATTGTTTTCTCATACAGTAGTGTGGAAACAATTACATTTGCATTTATTGTTGTACTAATCTGGTAATGTTTGAGGTTGAGAGTTACGCACTGCCCAAATGTAATTTTTATAAATTCAAGCATTTACATAAATACCCTCACCAAAAATGGTAAATGAGATAGTACAGGCTCTGTGTACCTGAGACTGTCTGCGGTTATCTGCGGGGTCGTCTGGGTGTTGGCCTTCAGGACTCCAGCTTCCTGCTTTCTGAGACATCTCCTGGGCTCGCGCTGTCACCCATGATTGGCTCTCTGGGATCCTTTCATTAACAGGCCTGACAACACACCCACATTTAGTCATATTACAAGTTCTCTACACTCCATGAAGGGCTTAAGGCTCTGGTTCCCTTTCGTGGAACTTCGAACTGCGTCCTCTAGGGGTCGCTATGGGGAACGCCTCGTCGTGACCCGTGTCTGAAGCCTACATTGAAAAAACACCAACTTGTTTGGCCGGCGACAGCCATGACGTCACTACCGTCGCGACTAGTACAAAATAGGCGCCGGTAGCGCACATCATTCTCTTCTTCCTTCAGACACGGGTCACGACGAGGCGTTCCCCATAGCGACCCCTAGAGGACGCAGTGTCTCGTTCCCCTCAGGGAACCATGGTTACATAAGTAACCCGAGACGTTTGTCACTCATTGTGCTTTAGATGATCTTTCTCATTAGATGTCCACTAGAGTCAGTCAACGACAAGGAAAATGTTTTACAGTGGCCTGATCTTTATTTATTTATTTATTAATCAATCACTCATAGTTTTTGTATTTTGGAAATTATAGAAAATAACAGAATAAAAAAATATTTTTTTCCAATGTATTAATTTTTATTTTATTTTTCGTAAATTATAGTTTTTGTGTTTAAGGAATTATATATTTCAAGTTCAAGTTCAGTTTATTTATAAAGCACATTTAAAAACGTCCACAGGCCGACCAAAGTGCTGTACAAGTTAGAATAAAATAAAAAAAATTAAGTACACTAATAGCAGCAAAACAGTTAAAACAGAACACTCGTATAAACTAAAAGCAACAGAGAATAAATAAGTTTTGAGACATGACGAACTCTTTTAATAAAAAAAAAAAAGTTTTATTTTTTGTTGTTTTAATCACAATTCTTGTATTTGGAAAACTATAAAACAAGTTTATAATAGAAGTTAAAAATTGGCCTGCATTAATTTTACAGTTGTTTTTGTTGTTGTTTGAATTCAATATTTCATTATGTCATATTTATTAGACATTTTACATTTTACTTTGACAAAAATGAATACTGGTCATTCTTACTCATGATTGGGTTATTTAAAACTCATATTTAATTACTGTCATGATGTATGCATTAATATCAGCTTTGTTACCATTGACAAAATACTAATAAAAATCCCTTTGTTTACATTTACATTAGCAATTTCCTTAATAATGTAAATGAAACTATCAACCTTAACACTGGGAGAGAGACTGGGGAGAAGATGGAGAGGGTGCTACTCACAGATGATTTGCAGGGTGCTGTTGTGTTTCAGGAAGGCCAGTGAGTCCCTGTCCCACATCCTGGCTTGGAGACGGCGGCTCCAGACGCTGAAACATTAATGGCGTTCGATTCTGTGTAAGATACAACATGGCCTACAGCTGGTATCAGGCAAGCTGATGGGAAAATGGGGTTGGGGAAAGATATGGGATGCAGAGCATCCCATGTGCGAATGGGGAGGGAATCCAGCAGCGGTCAGTCAGGAGGCATTCCAGGAGCATTATGGGTAAATGAGTTTCCTGCGAGTTGTATTGTCTGAAATCTGCTGATGGTACAATGCTGAGAATTCATTTACTTTCATTGTCCCAGTAAATGAAGAGTTTCTGTAACCACCTGGCTGCTAAAGAGTGGTGATAAATCTTGGTGTCATTCAGTAGACAGTAGATTGCTAGCTATGAGCTCATCTGTATGCTATTGTACACCTAAACATAGTCAACATTCACTTTTAGCAGATACGTTTAGAAGATCTTTCAAATGTTTAGGGTCAGTAAGATTCAGCAGGGACATGTTAAATTCATCAAAAGTGTCGGTAAAGACATTTATAATGTTATGAAAGATTTCTATTTCAAATAAATGGTGTTCTTTTGAACTTTCTATTCATCAAAAAATCCCGAAAAACAAAAATCATGGTTTCCACAAAAATACAACAGTAATAATAATAAATGTTTCTTGATGACCAAATCAGCATATTAGAATGATTTCCAAAGGATCATGTGACACTGAAGACTGGAGTAATGATGCTGAAAATGCCGCTTTGTCATCAAAAGAATAAATTACTTTTTTAAATGTATTAAAATGTAAAACAGTCATTTAACATTGCAAATTTTTTTCACAACATTACTGTTTTTCTTTATTTTTAGTCAAACACATATGAGGCCTCTTTCAAAAACATTTTAAAATCATACTGACTCCAAACATTTAAAATTTAGGGTCTGTTTCTTCTGGGAAAACAGATACAAATATTTTGTCTCATCCTGTATTACATAGATTTTTTTTGCCCAATCAAATGCTTTATAGAATGAGAATGTCATCATTACCCCAGATACCAAAATGAGTAGAAAGTCACAAATCATAGCGGTGATGTAATTATCCTATAACCAATAGGTTATTTAATAAAAAATCGACAAGCCCTTTGATTATGTACCACCCAAACCTTCTGTATGTGGATCAGTACGATTACTAATTTTTTTTAACAACCCCAGAGCTTGTAAAACTGTGACTCTTTAGAGCCATTTTTGTGTGTATTCAACCCATAAAGCAGATAATTGGTACCACCAGCCAAAATTACACCTTGAGATTTGGAAAATGAAGGAAGAAAGAAATAAAAATCAACCTATCCAGTGAGAAACACAAAATGCATGTAGTATGTAAAGGCAGGTTTCATATTAACATGAGAGGAAGTAATAGTTGATAAAAGAATGAGAGCTGATAAAAGAAAAGGAATCATCTGTGAACAACATGCACTGATCGAGTTTGTTTACTTAACACTGTCTAATGGATGAGTTAGGAGACAAGCTTAGCAAATTCAATGGTATCTGCCAAAACTGCTACATCCACTTGAAACATCATGGTTACCACTAAGATTGTACAGGCCAGCTCTACAAAACTGTGTTCGACTTTCATGTGGATGTATAGTTGTGGATCACATAAGAACAAAACAGTATAAAACGTAGATCAGGCCCATGTTGCATTACACTCTACTATTCATACTAATATTCATCATCTATGAAAACACATATACAGTATATACCACCTTCATATAAACTACTGAGGAAATTAAAGTGTTTAACTGCTAAAAAAACAAAAAAACAATGATTTTATACTCTTTCTACAACCAAAAACATAGTAACTGCTAATAATCAATAGTCATTGAACCAGTGGGATTCAATTACAGCAGGACACACACTGTTCCGTTATTCAGCTGGAAGAATGAATGGACATAATTAAAACAACCTATCAGATATACTGAAATATTAAACCACCCACTGCAAGTGACTTCATACAATGAGGAATTAAGTCGGTCAGTCAATAAGTTTGGCAATTAATTATTAATCTAGAGGTTTATGTGGAAGAGAGTAATCATACAACACAATACTTTACAGATTGTAAAACCCTTTTAAGGGGCAGCCTCTTACAAGACTTCCCAGGTTTATTCTATTTCCTTTCACTTCTTGGAAGGATGCCAAAAAAAGCCACAAATGTGATTTAAATCCTTAGATTATGATTATAAATCCAGTTTTCTAAGAAAGAGGAGTTGTGAGATGAGATGTGGCCTTCCTTTATCAAATTCCTTTAGCATTTATAAATGTTTTTTACTAATTGAAGAGATCAGTTTAATGTTTCTGAATTCACAATTCAGTTATGAAAATGATGTACTTAGCAGACATTACATACTTTACTCTAATTCTTCTATGTCTTAAATGACAACAACTACACTGTGCATACAACTGAGTGCAGAAGGAGGCCTGATTTTTAAAATCCTGACAGAGCTTAAAGGTGATATGTGTAGTTTTATCAAGTGTAAAAATATCTTCCTTGTCCAAGCTTAAGGTAAAACTTTTCCCTCATATTGTTACATATATCCAAGGGAAACAGCACCTCAAATTAGAGGAAAAAAAAGTATGACAGGACTTGATTTTGTCCATCTAGAATTGAATGGTTGCCCCGCCCTCACAATGATGCACACATCATCAGAGGAGACACATCATTGGGGCAAAGAGGATTATATTGCTGAATAAATATATGGGGCCACATAAATTGAGTTTGGTGTGGGATTGCCTCTTTGTCTGCCCAAAAGCAGTTGGCAAAGTTTGAAGCAGTCATTATGTTTCCATTCCATTTGGTGAAACTAGTGACGCAGAAATTACACACTTCATCTTTAGCTCCACATAAATATCATATTTTGTGTAATGTAAGGCAGAGATGCATTTGTGAATGTAGTACTTTAATGCCAAATGATTGTTCTAAGTAACAGTAAAATGTTTAGCTGTCATCACTATTGACAGTTGATGCATCTATGCAATTTAAAGATAAAGGGCAAACGAACTAGGCAAGCCTATTGGACTACTAAATACAAAGGAGGTTATCGCTCAGTCCCAAAATGAGAAAGGTGAGTGCATTGTCAAAAATGTATTCTCAGATACCACATGAACTGTGACAAGTCGCAGGAACACAACATATTTACTGTGGTTCCTCATCTTGTTTGCCTTTCTCAATAGCTTCTCACTGAGAATGTTCTTTAAACAACATCAGCAACTCCAATGGCATGTAACTGGCTCACTATCTAAGATACAAGTGTGTTTACGCTTCAGTCGATGGTGAAAATGAGCATTTAGCACAGCTGAGGACTGTTTGTCACAGCTCATTGTGGACTGTGATTGTGATTGCAGGGTGAGAGGATGAAGGCGTACCTGTTCATCGTGGATAGCCTGTGTCCGTTTGGCTTTACTTTGCCTATAATACTCCATGATCATCATGGCAGCATAGATCTTTCCCACTGTCAGGTCTGTCGCTGCTGAGAAAAGGACAAGTTACCCTGCACGATTAGACAAGGTGCGATGGACCCTGAGCAAGGGGGATGGGAGTGAGGACGGGACGTGCACAAGACAAACGCAGACGCACAAACTCACATGCACAAACAAAGAGTGTCGAATCGACACACACAGAGCCAATGGTCTTTTCACAAGCAGACTGATTAAAATGGCTAAAACTATTCACGCACTTCATTTTTACGATCAATATTTAAAATACTCCATTTCTACTGTTTTAAGTACAAAAATGTTGGAAGAACTGACAGCAAACTACAGCATAATTCCTGGATACAGTAAACAAAGTTTCCCAAAAACGGTCTTTGCCGCTTTATGAAACCGAGTTCACATGGAGAAGTTACTAAGAGTAACTTCAGACTAGGTTTACATGCCATGCTTAGTGGTGATTAAAGCCATGGTCACCACCTCTGTATAGGATCTGCATAGAACAATGAAGATAGCAATTAGCATCAAACAATACAGTTCTAAATTACTACATGCGTGCTGCACACTCATCTAAAACATACTACTTGCATTATCATTGTGTCAAAAGCTTTATTGCCTCATGTGTGACAGCAGCGCCACCTCATTATCTCATGCTTTTTTGTAGCATCTAGCTAGCATTAGGCTAGCTAGTTTTAAGCATATCTCATAAGATAGCTAGCTTTAAGCATGTTCTTAACAGCGAGCTAGCACATACATCTCATTGGTAGCATAATAGTGCTGCAATATATGTATATATATTTTTAATAATACTATTTTACGTACATCTTGTCAGGAATCTCATAACCCCTGTAGTGAAAAGACATCTATAGAGGGTTGATCTATAGTAAGGCACCCCCTGGTCTCAGGCATAGTGAGCTGGACATACACCAATGTGTGTTATCAATGTCTTTTGTTGCACTTGTCTTAAAATATCTTTGTTAATATGTTTCTGTGTAAAGTTGCAGTCGACTGTAGCGGGAGGGAAGGAGCTAAACATGCTAAAGCTAACGGCAACACACCAGGTGCTCGTGAAACATCTTTCAGCGCTTTTTTTACTGCACTAAGGCCCAAAGTAAGCGCAAAGTAATTAAGTTTTTATGCACACTGACGTTAATTCCGTCATTATACTAGTATACCCGATTGTTTTAACCCCGCATACAATAACAACAAACTACTAAAGATGACAACGACAATAGACGACTACGTTGACAAACGCTTATATGAAGACATTCCAAGATAAGCGGATCTACAGTTTGCAAAGGCATTTTTATTGCTCATAACTTTTGGAAAGAAATAGTGCAGACACTGGACAAGGGTAAAACTTTCTAGTGTGCAGGTGCCTAGCATCTGTGTTAGCGCACGCTATCAAATGGAGTATACTTTGAAAGGCTATGTGCTTAGCTGTTCGCAACAAAAACTAAAATATACTTTCTGCAACTACTCTCTTGGTTCATTTGCATGTATAGGCCTTGCATCTATTTATACATTTGCCCTATACAAACTGCAATCAGCAATTATATTGTTGGCATGTTTGCGTCATTACTGGATTTGAATAACACTGTAACACTTTAGTATAGGGACCAATTCTCACTATGAACTAGTTGCTTATTAGCATGCCTATTAATAACATATTGGCTGTTTATTAGTACTTATAAAGCACATATTCTGCATGACCATATTTTACATCCCTATACCTAAACTTAACAACTACCTTACTAACTATTAATAAGCAGCAAATTAGGAGTTTATTGATGGAAAAAGTCATTATCAAAGGTTTGTTGATAAAGAGAATTGGACCTTAAAATAAAGTGTGACCAATAACACATACTTTCTGTGTCACTTTCAATGTCTACGATTCATTCTCAGAGAATTTCCTCTTCTGTGATCAGTCTGCAGTCTAAATGTGTGGTATACATCTATAAGGGCCCAAAATGAAACTAAGGGTACAGGCCTGGACCATCAGGGGGTGCAGAGCAGTGATTGGGCTGGCTGAGAGAAGCTGTCCTCGGGTGGTAAAAGAGACACATTGTGAACACACCAACCTCCTGGGTAACTTACACTTGTGGGGTGTCACCAGAAGGTCCAGATTCTTCTGAGAGAGATTAGGCCATATCGCCATCATCTCCTTCCTTAGTTCAGCATCCATCTGGTGCTTATCTACGCCTCCTATTTACACAGCAACAGGTACACGTACACACATATATGCAAAAGTATTTCCACAAACACACACACATACACAATTTTTGTTAAGGTTTGAACAATGTAGTGTCCAATCTTACGTATTGGACCTTAAAATAAAGTGTGACCAATAACACATACTTTCCGCGTCACTTTCAATGTCTACGATTCATTCTCAGAGAATTTCCTCTTCTGTGATCAGTCTGCAGTTTAAATGTGTGGTATACATCTATAAGGGCCCAAAATGAAACTAAGGGTACAGGCCTGGACCATCAGGGGGTGCAGAGCAGTGATTGGGCTGGCTGAGAGAAGCTGTCCTCGGGTGGTAAAAGAGACACATTGTGAACACACCAACCTCCTGGGTAACTTACACTTGTGGGGTGTCACCAGAAGGTCCAGATTCTTCTGAGAGAGATTAGGCCATATCGCCATCATCTCCTTCCTTAGTTCAGCATCCATCTGGTGCTTATCTACGCCTCCTATTTACACAGCAACAGGTACACGTACACACATATATGCAAAAGTATTTCCACAAACACACACACATACACAATTTTTGTTAAGGTTTGAACAATGTAGTGTCCAATCTTACGTAGACTTATTGTGCACAAAATCTTACAAATTCTATATTTTACGAGTCATTATATACAGTGGGGTCTTTTTTGAGGTTTGACCAGGTTTAGAATAGATTTGAATCTCAATACTTTTGAACCTTAAACCACTACAGGCAAATACATCAACTGTTCAAACAACAGGAATGAATGAAGAAAGTAATGCCAAACCTTCCCCACCCTTGGCGATCTTGATGTCCAGAGCAGTTCGGATTAAGGCCATAAGTGTGGAATTAAAGTGCACTGTGTTGTCATCAGCAACTGGCAGATCCATCCGCAACAGTCTCTGTGGAGAGCCAATCAGGAGCAGTTAGAAGAGCAGCACTACTGAGATATAAGTGTGCTTTGAACCTCCAGGTAGGGTGTGCTTTTGGTGTGTGAGAGGAAATGTGAGGGGAAAGGAGGGAGGGATTTTCAGGGTTAGCTCTGTGACCTTTGATACTCAGTGCATGAATTAATTTAGAGCTGTCTTAGTGCAGTAATCGAGGAGGAGACTGATTAATGGTTTATGAGATTGCTGTGGAAGTTAATATATAAAGAACAGTTCTGTGGTCTAGAACAGTGGCTTGGTCTGGTTGGTCACAACCCAAAAATGGGTCGCAGGTCTGTTCTCAGAGAACAGCAAAAAAAAAATACACAATACAAATACAACTACCACAATTGCTTACAGTCAGATGTAGCAATAATAAACAGGCTTATCAACTTTTAAAATTGAGGAGGAAATGATTCCCATTTCTTTTGTTGCTGACCTCAAAGGCTGTTTTGCAGTATTTTTTCTGCAAATTAATTTGTAATTTGGTGTGACATGACCACAAAAATCATGAACAAATCTATGTCACCAAAGTAAAATAAATCATACTAAATTAAATATAATTTAAATGAGGATAAGCATGATTGCACCGACCACAGTGTATTTTGAACATTGAATTGTTGGCTAAATATTTGATTTTAAGGACATTATTATTAGTTTTGTAAAACTTGGGTCCTAAAGCAAAACCAGTCAAAAACCACTGATTCAGATGTCCATGAATCTGAGGCAGCATTTGCTACAAATCAGATTTGTATCTGTATGATGGATGATGTATTTTGTTTTCATATCAGCATCTGAGCTGTCAGTCAAAGAGCTTTTCCGGGAGGAGGTTCACATATTAAACTCAGACCAGCGGATGAAATAATAAATTAAAACATCATTACGTAAACGTCAGAGTTTTAAAGTATAATTCATCCTGTACTGATCTGGGGAAAGATTATACTTAAACACAGAAAGTCATAATTGCATTGCACAGGGTTAAATGTTACCTCAATCCTTCCGTTACCATGATACCCTCTGCGATGCAATCACTCACGTTACCCGGTGTCTCCCCATCCCGCTCCATCCCAGAAGAAACACTCACCCTCCACCCCCACTACCCTCTTTCCCAGCATGCATCATGCAGTCACATGCATCACAGGACAAGCAACAGAGCAGCCAACACTGAAAGCATCATCTAGTTGGTTCATTTCAGCTCATTCATTTAGGTTTAGTAGTGGTTGCTGTCATTGAGACTCAATCATAGATGGGCTACTGGATAAAACAAGAGCTCGATCCAGATTCTCTTGTCTCTCAATGCAAAAAAGATGGGTGCAGGCTATTGGTTTAGGTTAGAGCAGCATTCTCCAGAAAAAAAAAGAAGAACAAAAAAAGGAAATGGCTTTGTGAGTTGTTGTTGTGAAGAGGATGAGCTAAGAGTGAAGATTCGGCTACCTGCTGCGCAAGGGTAATACTTTAATGCTACGGATGATAAAGAGAAAAGCAGTGGGCTGCCAGAGAGGAGTACCGGAGCAGGAAGTTGGGTTAGGACTGACAGCTTTTACAGGAGGAGTTTGGATGGCTGAGATGGTAGTGATGAAAGAGACAGGACAGAGACAGTGACACCAAATTTAAAGAGATCTCAAAAGCTACATGAAAATCCGAGGGCGAAGGAGAATGAAGCGGAAGATAAAGCTACAGGAAACGTAAGAAGGGAAAGCTCTACCACAGGCTGGTCACATTCTCTACAGGCGATCCTCTATTATGGGCCCTAATGTTTGACAGGGAGAAAGAGGGTGAATGCAATGGTCGTGGTCGCTGTCATTTTTATTGCTCATAACTTTTGGAAAGAAATAGTGCAGACACTGGACAAGGGTAAAACTTTCTAGTGTGCAGGTGCCTAGCATCTGTGTTAGCGCACGCTATCAAATGGAGTATACTTTGAAAGGCTATGTGCTTAGCTGTTCGCAACAAAAACTAAAATATACTTTCTGCAACTACTCTCTTGGTTCATTTGCATGTATAGGCCTTGCATCTATTTATACATTTGCCCTATACAAACTGCAATCAGCAATTATATTGTTGGCATGTTTGCGTCATTACTGGATTTGAATAACACTGTAACACTTTAGTATAGGGACCAATTCTCACTATGAACTAGTTGCTTATTAGCATGCCTATTAATAACATATTGGCTGTTTATTAGTACTTATAAAGCACATATTCTGCATGACCATATTTTACATCCCTATACCTAAACTTAACAACTACCTTACTAACTATTAATAAGCAGCAAATTAGGAGTTTATTGATGGAAAAAGTCATTATCAAAGGTTTGTTGATAAAGAGAATTGGACCTTAAAATAAAGTGTGACCAATAACACATACTTTCTGTGTCACTTTCAATGTCTACGATTCATTCTCAGAGAATTTCCTCTTCTGTGATCAGTCTGCAGTCTAAATGTGTGGTATACATCTATAAGGGCCCAAAATGAAACTAAGGGTACAGGCCTGGACCATCAGGGGGTGCAGAGCAGTGATTGGGCTGGCTGAGAGAAGCTGTCCTCGGGTGGTAAAAGAGACACATTGTGAACACACCAACCTCCTGGGTAACTTACACTTGTGGGGTGTCACCAGAAGGTCCAGATTTTTCTGAGAGAGATTAGGCCATATCGCCATCATCTCCTTCCTTAGTTCAGCATCCATCTGGTGCTTATCTACGCCTCCTATTTACACAGCAACAGGTACACGTACACACATATATGCAAAAGTATTTCCACAAACACACACACATACACAATTTTTGTTAAGGTTTGAACAATGTAGTGTCCAATCTTACGTAGACTTATTGTGCACAAAATCTTACAAATTCTATATTTTACGAGTCATTATATACAGTGGGGTCTTTTTTGAGGTTTGACCAGGTTTAGAATAGATTTGAATCTCAATACTTTTGAACCTTAAACCACTACAGGCAAATACATCAACTGTTCAAACAACAGGAATGAATGAAGAAAGTAATGCCAAACCTTCCCCACCCTTGGCGATCTTGATGTCCAGAGCAGTTCGGATTAAGGCCATAAGTGTGGAATTAAAGTGCACTGTGTTGTCATCAGCAACTGGCAGATCCATCCGCAACAGTCTCTGTGGAGAGCCAATCAGGAGCAGTTAGAAGAGCAGCGCTACTGAGATATAAGTGTGCTTTGAACCTCCAGGTAGGGTGTGCTTTTGGTGTGTGAGAGGAAATGTGAGGGGAAAGGAGGGAGGGATTTTCAGGGTTAGCTCTGTGACCTTTGATACTCAGTGCATGAATTAATTTAGAGCTGTCTTAGTGCAGTAATCGAGGAGGAGACTGATTAATGGTTTATGAGATTGCTGTGGAAGTTAATATATAAAGAACAGTTCTGTGGTCTAGAACAGTGGCTTGGTCTGGTTGGTCACAACCCAAAAATGGGTCGCAGGTCTGTTCTCAGAGAACAGCAAAAAAAAAATACACAATACAAATACAACTACCACAATTGCTTACAGTCAGATGTAGCAATAATAAACAGGCTTATCAACTTTTAAAATTGAGGAGGAAATGATTCCCATTTCTTTTGTTGCTGACCTCAAAGGCTGTTTTGCAGTATTTTTTCTGCAAATTAATTTGTAATTTGGTGTGACATGACCACAAAAATCATGAACAAATCTATGTCACCAAAGTAAAATAAATCATACTAAATTAAATATAATTTAAATGAGGATAAGCATGATTGCACCGACCACAGTGTATTTTGAACATTGAATTGTTGGCTAAATATTTGATTTTAAGGACATTATTATTAGTTTTGTAAAACTTGGGTCCTAAAGCAAAACCAGTCAAAAACCACTGATTCAGATGTCCATGAATCTGAGGCAGCATTTGCTACAAATCAGATTTGTATCTGTATGATGGATGATGTATTTTGTTTTCATATCAGCATCTGAGCTGTCAGTCAAAGAGCTTTTCCGGGAGGAGGTTCACATATTAAACTCAGACCAGCGGATGAAATAATAAATTAAAACATCATTACGTAAACGTCAGAGTTTTAAAGTATAATTCATCCTGTACTGATCTGGGGAAAGATTATACTTAAACACAGAAAGTCATAATTGCATTGCACAGGGTTAAATGTTACCTCAATCCTTCCGTTACCATGATACCCTCTGCGATGCAATCACTCACGTTACCCGGTGTCTCCCCATCCCGCTCCATCCCAGAAGAAACACTCACCCTCCACCCCCACTACCCTCTTTCCCAGCATGCATCATGCAGTCACATGCATCACAGGACAAGCAACAGAGCAGCCAACACTGAAAGCATCATCTAGTTGGTTCATTTCAGCTCATTCATTTAGGTTTAGTAGTGGTTGCTGTCATTGAGACTCAATCATAGATGGGCTACTGGATAAAACAAGAGCTCGATCCAGATTCTCTTGTCTCTCAATGCAAAAAAGATGGGTGCAGGCTATTGGTTTAGGTTAGAGCAGCATTCTCCAGAAAAGAAAAGAAGAACAAAAAAAGGAAATGGCTTTGTGAGTTGTTGTTGTGAAGAGGATGAGCTAAGAGTGAAGATTCGGCTACCTGCTGCGCAAGGGTAATACTTTAATGCTACGGATGATAAAGAGAAAAGCAGTGGGCTGCCAGAGAGGAGTACCGGAGCAGGAAGTTGGGTTAGGACTGACAGCTTTTACAGGAGGAGTTTGGATGGCTGAGATGGTAGTGATGAAAGAGACAGGACAGAGACAGTGACACCAAATTTAAAGAGATCTCAAAAGCTACATGAAAATCCGAGGGCGAAGGAGAATGAAGCGGAAGATAAAGCTACAGGAAACGTAAGAAGGGAAAGCTCTACCACAGGCTGGTCACATTCTCTACAGGCGATCCTCTATTATGGGCCCTAATGTTTGACAGGGAGAAAGAGGGTGAATGCAATGGTTGTGGTCACTGTTCTTCATTCCACTGAGGTTAGGGGGCAGCAGAGACCCCCGTTAGACAGGAAGTGACCTGTCTGACTGAATACACAGAGATTGTTGGTCTGCCACCACATGTTTATGTTGGTGGAGATCACTGAACACTCTATGAAGCAAAATATTTTACGAAATGGGAGATCAAATGGGACAGAGAAAAATGGAGGGGGTGGGGCAAAGGTAAGAGAAAGGAGATCCCAGACTTGTTGATGGCTTATTAAGGGCACAGATCTCCTTTCCTTCTAGTTGTCGTTCACTGACCACAGGGTGAAATGTCAGTGTACGGTTGCAGACAGACAGAGAGAGAAGAAGAAAGCGAGAAGAAGCTAAGGGAGTATCTTGTGGGAGGGGCCAGTGGCCTGGAAGGCGGGGCATGCAGATGATTGGCAGAATGTAAAGAGGAGGGGCTGGAAACAGATTAGAACTGCATTGACAGAAGAAAGAGAAGTGGGAAAAGGATTATTTGTGCATTGTACCAAAATGACTTGATTTGTTCCTTTGTAGGGCCATAACGCTACCCAAGGATTACATGTGTGTTGTTGCGTATGTGTGTGCATGTGTGTGATTATCTGTGTATTACACGAAAAAAAGAGAGACAGAGAGCTGGTCCCAAGAGGAAAGGGTCCCTAAAAGAGCGGCATCCACAGAGCTGAGGGACTCGGAGGACTAAAGTCCTTCAGGCCTTCCTACCACTGCTGCACACGCACATTTGGGGGTGTTTTTTAATGTGTGTGTGTGTGTGACGATGTGAATAGACAATATGCACGTGTATGTGTGTACATGTGTCCCAATTTGCGTACTCATGCACTATTCTATGCCATTTTATAGTAGTGTGTTCACACTAAACATTTGATGCATGATGCACTTAATTGACCAAAATAATTGACCAAAATAATGAAGTTTGGAATGTTGGACACTTCATGCACTCAACTGTCGCCGCTTTCCTTGTGTAGCAAAGGTGGAGGGACAACCAGACTTTGATGCTGGATGACAAATTAAGCTTAAATAATTCATAAACTAGACGGTAGTGCATAGTATAAGTGCATAGTGTGTAATGTATCATGTGGGACACTGCATTTTTTTGTTTATTATCACACTGCATCTCAGATCTGAAATTCAATTACTGATCACTGCTGTACATTAAAGCATAAGAATCTTGCTTTAATGTATTGATAAAGGTGTAGAATGTAAAAGCAAATCTGAGACCTTTATGTTTCATCCTTCGAAGTTTCAAAAGCTATGAAAGTGTGCGTGTATGTTTTCATACGGTGCAAAAGTGCTGAGAAGGTTAGTCCGTTCCCGCTTCCCTGTGGATCGGCCCGCCTCAGTCTAACACCCTCGAACCCGGCCCTGCCACCAGAATCACAATAGCGGCCTCCGTCACACAACGAAGGAGGAAAAGAAGGAGAGAAAATAAAGAGAAAACACCAACAGTACAGACACAGCGCTGGCCACTCGGAGGCCCTCTACCTTGTAGGCAACCCGTGCAGGGCACTTCTTCCCCAGTCCTAACGGAGGAGACATGTGCCTGAGCATCTCATACATATCCCTGAAACTGATTCTGCCACTGGGCAACCGAAACAAAAGAAAAACCAAAGGAAATGTGCATGGGAGAGAGAGAAAGAGAAGAAGAAAAGGGGTAAATCAAAAAAGAAGGGATCAGGAAGGAGACGGGGAAGTGGGAGGGGAGGAGAACAAAACAGAGCAGAACAAAAAGAAGGTTATTGGCCTGGACGAAAGGAGCGGCTTGGTAAACTAGGCTGGGTCATTTGTGGGTAAGGGGTGGGGGAAGGTGGGAGGGGGTTGTGCTGAACGTCTTGAGTTGCTAAAAAGGCGTTCTATGCAATGGGGCAGGTTGCATAGAAGAGCATGCGGGCTTCAGAACAGGCATAAAGTCCCGCTGCTGGCAGGGCGTTGTAATGAAGTTTAATGTCAATGCAGTTTCTGTCCCCCTCCACCCAGAACAATGCACGCTACCATACCAGCTAGGCCTAGCCATGCCTCAACAGCAAGCAAAACAAAAATCAAAGATGGCTGATTCGTTTTTTTTTGTTTGTTTGTTTGTCTTTCACTTTAGTGGTTTTCTCGTTTGCTTGTTCCATACACACTAGTGCACTAGTTCATGCTCCTGTAAGTGTCGGCATTGTCCTGCACATTCTCATTGTCATATCAAGTAGAATGCAAGTAGAAATGGTGAGAGTACAAAAACATTGTTGAAAAGAAAAAGAAGAGGAGGTAAGCAACATTCATTGCATTCTGGATGCTAGCAGGTAATATTAGTTTTTAAGTGGAAGTCAAACCTTGCAGGCCACCCTATGAGGACATTTCTTGCCTAAGCCCAGAGGGGGGTCGATAACTCGCAATAAACTGTACATATCCTTATAATGAATGCGCCCGCTGTAAGAAGAATACAGGGAAGTTAGAGAACACAACTCAGAACAGAGACATTGGCAGGAAGAAGAGCACAAGAACAGGAAGAGAAGCACAGAATCACACACACATTTTCTTATTTGCTCGTCACCCGTTTGTGCTGTCAAATCTGTTCGCACACCTCCATATTAATGTTCCTCACCCGTCTCTGCTTCACTTCTTGTTTTTCCCTTATTCCTTACTTTCACTTTTCAGTTAGTTCTGTTTTCTTCCTGTAATTCCTCTTTACCTGGCTTCCTTCCTTATTCTTTCCTTATTCTCCCTCCCTCTTTTTCTTATTTCCTTTTGTTTCCTTCCTCTTCCTCTCTTTATTTACTCCTTACCCCTACATGAATTTCTCCCTTTCTCTTTTACTTCCTCATTTTTCTCTTCTACTTCCATTTCCTCCATTTCCCTTCCTCCCTCCTTTCTTTCTTTTCCATCTTTCCTTACTCATTTTTCTTTATTATATTTTTTTTCATTCTCTTTATCATTTATTGGTTCCTTCTTTTCGATTATCCTTACTTGCTTCCTCTTTTCCTTCTGTTAATTGTATTCCTTCCTTCATCTTGCTTCTACTTTCTTTTTCCCTTCCTTTCTCTTTCCCTTCCTTCCATTCTCCTTTCCATCGTGTCTTTCTTTCTTGTTTCTTCAGTTGTTTCCTGCTTACTTTTCCCAGTCCTTTCTCTTTTCCTTTCATTATTGGTTTTTCTTTACTTACTGTTTTTCTGGCTTCCTTCTGCTTTCTCTTTCTTTCACCTTGCATTCACTTTGCCTTTCTTTCTTAGTTACTCTTTTCCTTCCCACCTTCTACCTCCTTCCTTCCTCCTTTCCTTTCATTCTTTGTTTTCCTTCCTTCCTCTTCCCCTTTCTCGTGCCCTTCTTTCCGCCTTGCTTTCTCTCTTTCTCCCTTGAAGTTTACCTTTCTATTCACTTTTCCTTTCTATATTTCTTCCTTCTTTTCCTTTCCCTTTTTACTACATCTTTTCCTTTCTTGCTTCTTTTTCTACTTCATTTCTCTTCTTTTTTTCGTCCTCTTTCCTTTTTGCTTTCTTTCTTGTCAGATGGATTCTGCCATTCAGAATGAAGAATCTTTTCCTTTCTTGCTTCTTTTTCTACTTCATTTCTCTTCTTTTTTTCGTCCTCTTTCCTTCTTGCTTTCTTTCTTGTCAGATGGATTCTGCCATTCAGAATGAAGACTCTCTGGAAGACTCACTCTCCGAAATCTGTTCAGCATAATTTCCCTTGGTAAAAAGGCTTTAATTCAGTCTTTTTTCAGTCCTTCCTAGTCTTCTCTGAATATCTGATTAACTCTCGGTTGCCCGCCTACATTACTGTCTAACACACAACATTAGGGTGACAAGCACTGGAATGCAGATACCGGGAAACTTAGCGTGTTCAGTAGAAGGGAGGGGGCTGGCACAGTAAGTTTGGCTTGCAGTATGCAGTATTCCAGAGTGGTAGGACTGGGACTCACAGAAGGGCACGTAGGAGGGTTTGGGGGGGATTGATGGATTTTAGCAGAGCTGAGAAGCTCAAATCCATGATCCCTTTCTCTCAGCTGGTGCTGTGGTGTTCTCCTCGCTGTTTGGTCCAAGGTAGGATACAATGAAGCCAGGCTCTGTACGTTAAAGACTTTGCCAGAGGCCACGGCTCTATACCGATGTCAAAAACGAAGTGTTCCAGTCGAACAAATAAAAGAGGGCCATTGTGGTCTGTTATATAGGACAGAGGCTATATTTACAGTTGTGAAAATGTACAACACATTTAAAGCACACTGTCCTTGCACGCAAGACCAAAACATGTTAAAATAGCCTCTTTAAAATGGTGTGTCCAGCAAATTTAAGGGCCAAAGAAATTTGAAAAGTAAGGGTCTGTTACATCCAATTCTGCATTTTAAAAGAATCCATGGTCTCACATTTTAGGACATTATCGATTAATTACTGAGAAACATGTTATAGACAGTCTAATGGCATCTATTTAGTACTACCAAAAGAGTATTAATAAGTTTAGTGAGATGTGTAATTAAATACAATTATACATTTTGTTTATAAATTTGCTTCATGTTACTAAGTAATAAGTACTTTTCACAATTAGTATGTAACATACAAGATTAGTATATAATAAAATATTGAAAGAGCATGTTTATGTGTGCAAGTGCACATAGGCTCACCAAGCAGCTGGATCATACTCCGCCCAGATTCTCACATACTCGTCCAGGTGATGGGGTCCCAGGATAGAGGAGTCACGCGTCAGGTACTCAAAATTATCCATGATCACAGCCACGAACAGATTCAGCATCTACACACAAGTAAATCACAGGACTAAGCAGACAAATCTGATGAGTTGAGCTGTAAAGTACACACCTCATGTACATGACACTATGTAATTTCTCCGCTTTTAAGCAATATTAATACAGTACAATTATGGATGTCACACTGTATTAAAAAAAATGGTCAGTGTAGTTGTAGTTTGTAACATAATCCATCACATTGCACATTTTAGGTAATATGTGACCCTGGATCACAAAACCAGTCTTAAGTCGCTGGGGTATATTTGTAGCAATAGCCAAAAATACATTGTATGGGTCAAAATAATAGATTTTTCTTTTATGCCAAAAATCATTAGGATGTTCATTAGGATAAAGATCGGTCAATGGAAAACTTATTTATTCAGCTTTCAGATCATGTATAAATCTCAATTTCGAATAATTGACACTTAAGACTGGTTTTGTGGTCCAGGGTCACATATAATCAGAGTACATTATTATTACTTTTAGATTATATTTGATCTTACTCGTTCACCATATTGATTTAAATAGGATAATCTTGTACCATATTGATATAAAAAAATAGTAATAAAATACCTTCTATGCATTGTAATGCATTAAACACTACATTACGCCAAGGTTTCCCATGGGGTTCATAAAGGAACTAAAAGGGGTTGGTGAGTTTAATGAAAAGGTAATAATTAATTAAATCATAGTAATGTAAAATTAATAATGTAAAATTTGGAATCTTAATATGTAATCCAGATTACATGTAATCAGTTACTACCCAGCTCTGTGTATATATATATATATATATATATATATATAATACGATATATAACTACATAACACAATACATATAATACAATGAAAACTAAATAGCAGCTTTACGTCAGTGGATATAATCAGTATTGGGAACACATTTGTTTGCATTTTGTTTTGCTGTATCACTGGAACAGATGGAAAGTAATAGAGAAGTATGCCGCATGTCTGAGTCACTTTTCACCACTGATGACAAATGTGGCGACCACTCAGCAAAACATCAAAATGATAAATCCTAGTGCCAGATTCCCTCTTACTATAATATAACGCCCACTAAAGAAATGGAAACTGCTGCTCAACAATTGGAGATCGTTTCATCTGTATTTGATACAAGCTTTCCAAAAGCAATTTGATAAAATAGCAGGGCCAACATTAGCCATTGCAAAAAGCTGTGGTGAAATGTCCCCACTATAAATGATGCCTATGAGTACAACGCTAGTGATAATAAGAGTGCTGATGTTCTCACCAGAAAGGAACAGAGGAAGATGAAGGAGACAAAGTAGAGGTAGGCAAACTCGCTCCCACACTCTGCCTCCACGTTACCAGAGAGAGGATCACACACCTTCTTTCCCAGACATGACAGCATGATATCATGCCATGCCTCACCTGTAGCACTCCTACAAACACACGGTGTTGAACTACGGTTATAAAGTGTTTGTAACCCACGCACAACATTCAACAGAGCCAGTCTGTGATTCACACACAAACCTGAAGAGCAGCATTAGCGCCTGGAAAAAAGTCCTGAAATTGTTGTGCTGGTTAATGGCACTCTCACCATCCTCCTCAATCGCAATGTTCCCAAACAGCTGTGAAACACAAAACCCACCCCAGCATAAGCCCACACTCTCATTGCCCACTACCTTCAAATATAGCCATTTACCTATTCTCAGTATGTGCTGTGCAGCCTCCCACACACTCTCTCACATACTCACCTGCATGCCAATGATGGCGTAGATGAAGAACAGCATGGCGATGAGTAGGCACACATACGGCAGAGCCTAAGCACAGCAGATCAGTCAAAATAAACCATCAATTAAATGTGAGTGAAAACCTGTTACTGGCAGTCTGAGGAGAAATGTGCAACACAATGTCAACATGTTAGTGTAAATGTAGGTAAATTAGGACACATTTTGAGATGACTAGGAAAAAAGGCCCAATTAACCTGAATTAACCCCTACCAAAAACCCTGACCACATTAAAAAAAGTTCTTTATGCTTAAATTCTTTATGCTTTAGTTATCCATTGTCCGCTATTTTGCGCACACACTATAAACATTCTCTTTCCATAACAAATTTCTAGCACATAACACAGCAAGTGCGTTTGTGGCATATCGGATTAATATCATGTATAATGATTTGTTTAGGTTTTAGTTTAGTTAATTTACATGCTAGCTAAGCGCCTCAGTTTCATCTTACACAGCTCCAAGGTTATTACTGTTTACTTAAACTAAATCTAAAGCTATTGAAAACACATTTTCAATTTGATATATAGCATAAAATAAAATAAAATAAAAATATTACATGGAAAACCTAAACTAAATGAAGATCAGTAATGTTGCTTTGGCAACTAACTGACATATTTTTAATTTGAAGAGGTAAAATTACTAACTGGAAAAATAAAAAATAAATCTGAACTAAAACTAAAAATGAAATAAAAATAAAACCTAAATAATAAAATAAAAAGTAATAAAAACTTACAAAAGCACATAATAAAATGACTAACAGTTAAGCTAAAATAAAAAAACTGAAACTATAAAAATAAAAGCCAATTCAAAATATTAATAAAAGCTTTATACAAATAATACTGAAATAACAATGCACAGGTCAAGCAATTCAATCTGCAACATTACTGATTATGATCAGATTTTTTGGATTAATATTCGTACTAGATTCTTCAAAAGAAAGTAGTAAAATTATTTATCTTCATAATGCACATTTTTTTAATTTAATTTTTTGAAATAAACAAAAACAACCTTCATTAACCAACATTTTGCCAATAATTTCATTAACAAGATAGCTCTGTGTGCTGTCTGACTCAAAAAACAAAACAATGCTTGCATACTGTGTTGTATGTGTGTGTAATTTTACCTTGAAAGACTGGACGAAGGTCCAGAGCAGGATGCGTATGGTCTCACCCTGCCTGAGCAACTTAATGAGACGAGCAGCTCTGAAGAGCCTTAGAAAACTCAGATTTATGAAGTTGTTCTACAGAGACAGAAAGGAAGCAGTAGACAGAAATAGAGAAGGGGCAGACAGACAGAGAAAGGAAATGATGTCAGTCCAAAACATTTGATTACAAACAGTGAAGAAATTAAAAAGGAACTAAGGAAGGAAGAAAAGAAGGAAAGTAGGAATAAAATCAAACAAGGAGAAACCAAAAAAAATAAATAAATAATCAAACTGACAAGACTAAACAGGCTCAGCATATCCAGTGGTGAAAGAGGGGAAAAGACAAAGATAAAGGGAGGAGGCAGCAACTCATACAAAACAATAATATAATTATATAATAAAACAAAATACTGTAAACGAGTTCTCATTAGGGAAGGGAGTGCACAGACCCTAACTTCTTGCTTCAGTCAACCAAATGCACTGATCTGTAGATTCACGTGGAATCATGCCAACCACACTAATAGCATACAATGACCAACAGAGGGCACTAGCAAAGACAAGGGACATGTGCTGGGTTAAAGGACATATTTCAGTCAGTTGTGGGCAATTTTTGTATTTTTTTCTGCTTTTTTTTTTTTGAAGGCGTCAGGAACTGAGGGGAAGAAATTACTGTTTATTGTCCTTTAAGCAGCACAGAGATACTGGGAAACAAAAATCGAACACAAGTTCAAGGTGGATTTAACTCCATCTCTACCTTCATAAATGACATATTTAGATGTCCTTAGTACGCTTACATCTATGTGTGTGTTGATGTATTTAAATGTCTGTATGACTGTATGAAGATGCAGTGTCAAAAACAACAATTACTAGCGTTCCCTGTCAGCAAAAAAGCGCAACATGCATTCAGGAAACCTGCAAGCTGTGTGCTAAGGATCAGTTACACCTCTGCTGATAGGGGCTTTGTCATATTGTTAGACAAGCAGGGGTGAAAGGTCATCATGACTCAAGCACATGCATCATTATATCATCATCAGCTACAGGGAAACAGATGCATTAGATGCATTACTCCAAAAGAAAAATTACAAACCATCTACATGTAGATGTTGCAGAAGCATGGTTTATAGCAGTATTTTTGGAGGTTGATTAAACAACCATTGTGATCGGTTTATTCAGGTCATGGATATACACATGAGTTTCATAGTGCATTTTGATTGGATGGAGTCATCAGAGGGCAAAGCCGCCATAAAGAAGAGTTTAAAGAAAGCATGTAAAACAAAGATAAAACAAGACATGAATTATCATTATGCATATCGACAAACCTTTCAATTCAAATTAAGGTTGATTATAACAAAAAAACATTTTTTTAAATGATGCACTTTTCATATGCGGTTTGAAAAGCTTTTATCAATACATATATATTTGACAGTTTTGTAACTGGAGATCTGACTTCAGTCTTTAATTACAAATTTAACAAAACATCAGCACTAATCTCTTCAGGTGGATCTCCAGGTACAGGACTGGGTCTTAAAATAAAAATAAATAAATAAAAACACTTATTAATATCATATAATAAAGTATTTCTCATCACATTTCTGTTAAAAACACCATGAAATTAAAATAGAAAGCCCATTTGTGTTTGCTTTGAGGTCATCAGTATGCTTGTGTAATCCAAAAAGCTGATAGAGTAAATATAATTACAATTTAATATTCATGGTTTTTCTTTGCTGGGGAAATGGAACAGAAGTATTGATGACTGAAATGTAGGCCCAATAAAATGCCCTTTAGAATGTGAAAGGCCCTTTCCGCTAATCAATGCAACCTGCCATCAAGGTGCAATAGCAAGTAGTAAATCATGGTTTTGCCAGACTGTGATGTGAACTAAAGTCTACTGCTATTTTAAAATAAATAATTAAACAATTATGAAATAAGTCAATAAATTAGTTAATTAAATAAACAAACATTTCAAAATAACCACATAAAAATATTACATTTCCAAATAAATAATATCAAAATAAATGCATAATAATTACATTTTCAAATAAATTATAACATTCAAATTCACAAAGACCACTGATGTAACTAAACTCTCCAGGTAAATAAAAAAAATAAAATGACAAAATAACTACATAAATAAAAATATTATATTTCCAAATTAATAATATTTTTGATTCTTAAAGACCTTGCCTGGATTAGTGCAGTTTTCTTTCCTATGTTGACAGAAACAGGTAGTTTGGGCCGGACATTTTGAAGGTCTTGTCACTTTTTATAATAATAATAATTATTATTATTGTTATTAGGCAGCAGCTATTTGCACAAAGTGTAAATAGTGAAAGATGCAATTCACAGTAAGTACAAATAGCAATTAGAGCCTATTTACACTAAGTGAAAATATATTTTCTTAGTGATAGATGCTATTTACACCAAATGCAAATAGCAATGGATTCTATTTACACGATGTTAAAATAACAGGATTTTTTGCTATTTATACTACTTATTGCAAATATTGGCAATTATCTGCACCTCAGTATTGTAGTGCATTATAAAACAGTATGCAATAATAACGTATTGAGTGTAAATTATTATTTTAATTCAAATTATTAAATGGATGCCACCTTATTGGGACAAATCCCTCCATTCACCCACCTTAACCCTTTTCAACTTTTAGATTTTTTTCCTTCATTTTTATTATAATTAAATGCCTTTCCGAAGTGATATGAGATTTGAAAAGGGAGAAAAAAAAGTTCAGCAAAAGGCGGATTCGAACTCGGGTCAATCGCATCAACACGCACAGCACGCACTATACCACTGGAACCGATATTTGATAATTGTCTTTTATAGTGTTAACTCGCAATCACATGTTGGTGGGCGGAGTTAGTGTAAATAGTTTCTGTCAACAAGGCGGGCTATTTGCACTTAGTGTAAACACACTCCGTTATTATTAAACAGGCAACTAGAGGTGGGGGAAATATATCGTAATTGTTGTTTTAACAATGTGTGATTTGACATTATGGAGTACATCACAAAAAACAAATAAAACAGACTTTATTTACATTACAGCCATTAACCATGATTTGCTAGTCACATTTGGGGCGGGACATTCTCATGGGTCGTCAATACTTTTGGTCTTTTGATCCTAGAAAAGAACAGTACTTTTTGAAATATGTAGATTTGATAGTTTAATTTGTCTAATTGTAGGTCAATTTTTAATCCATGGAGTCTTTAAAGTGCCTGTACAACAGGTGTTGATGATCTGCTGTAAAACCAAGGAGAAAAAACACATACACAAACACATGTTTTACTAATATTTAGAAACGGCCATTATCATTTGCTGTATTATGAATACATGTTAACATTTGAGAACCACATTTTTACTGGTAGGTCAGTTTGATCTGGCTGGGGGATTAATGACGACGCTGGAAGAGTAACAGACCCCCGTCACCACTGAGCACCACTGGCTCACTGATCTGCCTCACACACCAACTGGGACGATTATATAAGACTTTTAGGAGTTCCTTACACCTCAGTGAGCAAGAGAAGATCCTGCTGAGAGTCTCTCAATCACATACGGAAATACACACAAGCGTACAGACAGGATACACAAACAAACACGCACATACACACTCACAGATGGCAGCCCTTCTGCTACACACTTACCCCTAGCTCTGTGACTAAAATATCAGTGATGCTGCCAAGTACAGTCACACAGTCGAAGATGTTCCAGGCGTCTTTGAAGTAGTTCTGTGGTAAAAAAAGACATAGATGCGTTTGTCAGCTGGGCTAAAGGAGGATTACACTTGGCACACACACATTCAGTGACCCGCAGACAGAAAAAGGAGCAAATGATTTATTTTCACTCTCTGGTGCTAATGAAATGTCTCCTTTCCCCCTTTTAGCCCTTATTCCTTCACTGAGTTTTCCAGCCTGTGTACAAAAAAGGGTAGATGCCTAGAAAACTAGTGGCCCAGATGCTGAACATGACGGCCTTTTTGTGAGCTGCCAAGTGAGTGCCTGCAGGAAAACAGTGCATTAGGGCCATTCAGTACACCAGCTGCATGGGATCAGGGGCACCGGTGCAAAGAATGTGTGTGTGTAACTCTTTCCATCAACCACCCGTCATACCCATCGTCTTCATTTCGCTCAAAATCCGTCCTCCTTTTTCCATTTTCCACTCCTAATCACTTCAATGTGCCCTCCAGCTCACTATCTTCATGTGCGTCTCTTTTAGCTGACAGCCATTTCCTTTGTGTCCTGCACTTCCATGTCCCAACCCTTTTCTCATCTACTTCAGAATGCAACTTCTTTGATCTCTCTTTCTCATGCTCAATCGGTTCATAAATCTGCTTGTGCAATGCTGATTCTGACCTCTGTGGTTTTTAAAGACTTTTGTCCCAATTCCTTTAGCCCTGTTTCACACAAAACAGGTATATGAACACAAGTAGGGTCCAAAATGAACATTTTGCCACATCTGCCAACGGTGAGCGAGGTGAGAAAATTAAACAGTCATATTTATGTCTTAGTGGCAATAAAACTGTATTTATTGATTTTTTTGAAAACACATGAACTATATTTTTGTCCTTAAAGGGATAGTTCACCCAAAAATGAAAATTCTGTCATTAATTGTCGTTCCAAACTCGTAAGACCTTCGTTTATCTTCTGAACACAAATTAAGATATTTTTGATGAAATCCGAGAGCTTTCTGACCCCGCATAGACAGCAATGCAATCGAAACGTTCAAGGCCCAGAAAGATAGTAAAGACATCATTAAAATAGTCTATGTCACATCAGTGGTTCAACCTTAATTTTATGAAGCTACGAGAATACTTTTTGTGCGCAAAGAAAACAAAAACAACTTTATTCAACGATTTCTTCTCTTCTGTGTCAGAATTTGACGCAAGTTCACAACAGCACCACAACGCATGCGTGTGTCTTCACCTGCTTGTAAATAAGCCACAGCGTTTCTACGTCAGAACGCCAGCTTCTACGTCAGCAGCATCACACGCATGTGTCATGGTACTCGCGTGAATTCGCGGCGGAGACTGACGTGGAAGAGAAGAAATTGTTGAAAAAAGTAATTATTTTTGTTTTCTTTGCGCACAAAACGTATTCTCATAGCTTCATAACATTACGATTGAACCACTGATGTCATCTTACGGGTGTGGAATGACATGAGGGTGAGTAATTAATAACAGAATTTTCATTTTTGGGTGAACTATCCCTTTAAGACAATGTGATTGTTTGTATTTGACAATGTGATTTTTGTATTTTAATTTGTGTAATTGTCTCTCAAGATGAGCCAGTATCTGTCTCTTAGTCAAACTGTACTTCTCACAAAAATGTGGCACATTTCATTCATTCACGTTTGATTTTTGTTTTGTTGGTCTAATGCAACGAAGATTCAATGTGTGCCAGTACATAGACTTTTGTGGCGGGGGGAACATTAGGCATCCGATATAAACTTCTGATGGTTAAAAAGGTATTAAAAGTCTTTATAAGATGTTGCAGTTTCTAGTAGTCACTGTATACTTTCACTTGCATTTGCTGCTTAGTGAGTGACAATTCTGGACCCAACATGCACACACATACAGTTAAACATGAGAAAACTGTACAGTAGACTCACCAGCACTCCAAAGGCAATGATCTTCAATATGCACTCCATGGAGAAAAGTGAGGTGAACACTATGTTCAGGTTGGCTAACACAGCTTCATAGGCATCTGATGCTCCATCATACTAAACAAACACAACATATTTAAACTGTATTAAACTGTATTTAGAAATTTTGGTAACTGGACTATAAAAACTGCAAACCTTGTAGAACATCGGTACTGAAAATCCATTTTTAGTTTTACCCTATTTGTGGAAAGCACCGGTAAACTAACAATGCTAGAGTCTAAAGATTCTAAACTCTGTAATTGTTAGTTTGTACCATCACAAACTTTTAAAAGCTAATTTACCATACATTGGAAGCCTAATTCTCAAAATATATAAAGCGAGATGTACTAAAGTGAAATACTGCCACACCTTCATCATAAGGACAATGGTGTTGAGGGCAATCAATGCCATGATGGTGTATTCAAATGGAGGAGACACCACAAACTCCCACATGCGGTACTGGAATGTTTGTTTGTTCTGAGGCATGTGTCGCGTGAGCGGTTTAGCATTGATGGCGAAGTCTATGCAGGCTCTCTGAAAACAGAACAGATACGATGAGGTTAGTCAAGCTGAAAATATGCGGCACCATATCAATGAGATCAATGCCAGCGCTATGCATAAAGAATGAGCTAGACTGATCATTTAGCTTAAAAAACATCCATTTGATATGTCCTCACCTCATTCTTTTCCAGGCTATACTCCTCCATCATTTTGTCTCCTTGCTCCTGGAAAGTGATGATGATAAGAGCCACGAAGATGTTGACGAAGAAGAAGGGGAAGACCACGAAGTACACCACGTAAAAGATGGACATTTCCATCCGGTAACCTGGACTCGGGCCCTGATTCTCGTAGGTCGCATCCACTGAATGTTTCAGTACCCTGGCGAGTGCCAAAAAAATAAGGCATTGAATATGCTGTAATGTGATACTGTCAAATCTTTTAGGAAATTGTAACAAGTCGTTAGATATGCCATTTAAAATAACTTCAACTTCACTCAGATTGTAATTTGTGATGAAAACATTTGCATTACATTAGAAAACAGAAGCAATTTCACTAGTGGCTTCAGATACTGGGTACGTACACTGAAAATTAGGTTAGGAATTTAGATGTATACATACTGTGGCCACCCCTCTCCCGTAGAAACGGTGAAGAGGGTGAGAAGGGCCCAGAGCACATTGTCGTAGTGGAAATCGTATTTCTTCCATTCCCGCTTCTGCGCCCGCACTTCGTTATCTTTTTCATAGACAAGATACTCGCCCCTAACAACAAAATGCTTTTAGAATAACATGCCAATGTGTCTGTTCATCAGTGTGTTTGTGTGTGTGTGTTTTGTCTCACCTGCAGTCACGCTCCAACTCCTTGGATTCATCGGTACAGTAGAAGAAACGGCCTTTGAAGAGCTGCACAGCCACCACAGCAAAGATGAACATGAACAGCATGTAGACAATGAGTATGTTCAACACATTCTTCAGAGAGTTCACCACACAGTCAAAGACAGCCTGAAAATAGACAAAACAGAGAAGAGACAAATTCAAATGCAGCCTGAAAGCAGAACACAAACTCGGCCTCAAAACACAAACCAATACATCTTCAAAATGTAAAAATTCAACTTAATAAAGCTAATAAATATACATAAAAATTGAAACAAACCAAACAAATCAAATCAAATCAAATCAAATCAATACCCTAAAAAGCAACAATAAAAAACAGCCTGAAAAACACAAAGAATTAACAGAAATTAAAATATAGCCTGACAGTCGAACACAAACCTTATAAGATGACAAAACAGCATCAAAACTGTACAAACACAATTAAATAAAACTATAAATGATCATAAAAACAGAAACAGAATTATTGCAAACCAGCAAAAAAAAAGAAAAAAAGAAAAGAAAACCAAGCAAAGCCTGAAACAAAACATACGAAAGGCATTTATAGAACACAACTCTTAGATAAAACAAAACAGCATCAATATACGCAAAAACAGATTAATTGCATTTACACACACAAAAAAAAAAACAGATATAAAACAAAATAAACAAATGTGAAAACACTTCAATGTTAGAAACAAAGCCAAAAACAGATAAAGCAGTCAAGTGATACAAATAAATGAACAAATACAAACAAAGGTCTAAAAACCAGACAAAACAAATTAAAAACAGTCTGGTCAAACACAGCCAGAAACTGATTACACTGAAAAATAAAGCCCATGTAGTGAAAACAAAAACCAAACATACTCTGTAAACAGGCAAATCTCAGTCAAAACAAGGAGGAAAAATACAACCAAACACAGAGGTACCTTCAGCTTGGGCAGACGCTTGATGGTTTTCAGAGGCCGCAATACTCGGAGCACACGCAGCGACTTGATAGTACTGATGTCTTTCCCCTTGCTGCTTCCTCTGCAGATGAACACAAACACACACAAACAACAGAGTTAGAAAGTGAAATGGCAGGAAGTGTTAGGCCACATGGGTAATTGGTCTTGCACACACACAATTTATGGGTGAGTTAGTAGCTCAGGCTGTTAAAACAATGAAACATGCCTGCTACATCCACACATTTACTCCCAGCCAATCAAGAATCTCGTCTGTGTTTCCTCACTGAGAATGCAGCCTGTTGTAGCCAGACAATCAAGCCCATTTCACAGCTCTTAGGATAGACACATACTAAAACACATGCACACAGTCAATCTCACAACACACACACTCTCAGACACACTCGCTGGTGTGGCTCATGCTGTACTGAAAACTAGCTCAGCGGATGTAATATCCACTGTACCGTCTTAGCCCATGCTGGAACCACCATTGTACCTCTTTTCCCAAGGAACACTGGCTGGTTTCATTACATTGCCATGATGACAGCATGAAACATACGGAGCAGATTCAGGCATCCCTGCTGCAGAATGCCCAGCCAAACCTCTTTCTTTCTTGTTTTTGGGGTTGTCCATTGGCAAACACAACATATAAAAGGACCTGGAAACACACATCCAGTCACTCCAGAGGGGAAGAGCTTCTACCAATCAGCCCTGGCTCTGCAGTCTGAAGAACCGTGTCACCCTGAAGCTAGTCAATCTGAATCTGAATTTCTGGCCTACATTATCACAATTTGCACGCCGCTCTTGTGGTACCCAAACACTGCCATCCACCAGATGTGTGTACAGTGTACAGGCTAGTGACCAGCAAGCTAAATGCAAAAGTCATACACTGAAGACTAAACTATGCGAATGTGCGGTTGTATACTGATTTATATCACTGTAAAACAAATGTATGTAATTATCCTTACTCACATACAGTGGGGTCTAAAAGTGATTCACATTTCTGTAATTAAAAAAAGATTTTTGTCAGCTTTTAAAAACTTGAATGGAAATGTTTTTGGAAGAAGTCTCTTATGCTCTCCTAGCATTTATTTTACAACATACAGTAAACACAGTAATACTGTGAAATACTACAATTTAAAATAATTGTATATGTATGTTTTCGCTGTCACTTTTAATCAATTTAATGCATTCTTTCTGAATAAACTTCTTACAGAAAGGTAATTCTTACTGATAAATGGTAGTATATATGAGCACATGAACATAAATTGGTAAAAGCTATCAAAGTATTTTGTTAGTTTATGCCATCAAATGATTAATATTCAATAACTAATATAAAAAAATGTAACTTTATTGTAAAGTAATACTGATGCGCTCATGAATTGGACACCGCTGCTTCTTTCATAAAGGAATAACAACTTAAATTTGGTTCTGTTTCACATACAAAGCAAACATTTCTTTATTTTAGACTTTTCTTTGTCTAAAATTTGTCTTAAAATCCTCACAACTTTGTTCATTTCCACATTTAAACGAAAAAAAAGAAGAAAAGGTTTTCACACTTTTGGACCGCACTGTATAAATAAATAGATATATATTTCTCTCTCTCTCCATATATTTTGCATCTTTATTGTCTTCCCTGTCCTCTCTTCTCCTCTTCTGTCTCAGTGTCAAGGACAGAGGACAGCGCTCTAGATTTCCAGCGCCGTGCCGAATCCTGCCCTCTCAGCAGATGTGGTTACACACTGTCAAGCACAAACAAGCGTCCATCAGAGAAGTGCTGTTAGAGTGACGGGTGCAGAAGTGAGGGACCTCTCAAACCCCCCTATCAGGACTACGTGGACTGAATGATCATCCACGGGTGATTAACACAGAAACGGTGACAGAGTGATAGAAGAGATGGGTGACTTGCAGACAGACATAGAGACAAATCCAAAAAAGAAAGAGGAAAGCTGTGTAATTGCCAAGACAAGCATTAAGAGCAAAAGAGAGAGAAAAAGAGAGAGAGAGACATTACCCGCTGCCTCCGCTGTAGGTGTGAGCAGTTGAAGAGATGAGAGAGGAATCAGACACACATACACACACAAGACACGGGGGAGAAAGGGAGTTTGAAGGAAGAAATACATTAATATGAGACACATACAGTAAAACGAGAGAAATAAGGATGCAAGCTTGTGAATTATTACACATCCACACAACCATACATCTGTGTTCACTTACCCATTTATATAATTTACAAAACTCTAAACAATATATAAACTACGCCAGCAGAACATTTAGTCTTATTTAACCAGACTTTTGACTTGCAGCAAAACGTCTGGTCCTCCTCGCAGCTTATTCTATGGGGCAAGGAAGTGACCGCCTGACTGACATGTAAGATGATCAACCACAGTCCATTTAGATTTTATGTTGTGTTTAAGGGCGGGGATTTTTCAAATAAATTTGACCACAATGGAGTGCAACAGTCAGGTTCCAGAAGTTAACAAAAAAAAAAAAAAAAAACTTTCATTTTCTCCACACTTCTCAACATTTTCTCCACACTGATAAAAATGATTTTGTGGTGAAGTAAATACTACATAAAAACAAATGTAATTTCTACATTAAATAATTTAGTTTAGGCAAGAATTACAAAAATAAAGTAAATTCTATATTACTACTCAATTTAAGCTTGTAGAAATTAAAGTTTGAAATTATTAGCATATTTTACTTATGTTTACAAGGATTCTTTGAGTAAATATCAAAGTTATGATCCCGTTTTTCCCATCATGCACTAGGGCATGAATAATTAAAATGGTTAAAATTTTCACTGTTTTCGAGTTGTATTTACACTGTTTTATGGTTGATTTTGTCGTTAGGTTTAGTAACTTACTGTTTTGTGACATCTGGAGTTCATTTTCTACTCAAAATGACCCATTCATACTCAAACACTAGCCACTGATTGTTACCGTCATTGTGTATGGTGTACCAAGTATTGAGGTCTCTGTGTTCATTTAGGTAATAATTACATTGAGTGGACATATTATCTTCAAAAGGATAACAAACTGCCTACTTGCTTACTTACATGTTTGCAAGTGAACCACATGCTTTAATAGCATGGTTGTTTTCCAGTGCTACATCGTTTGAGTAAATTTTATAAACTGTAACTGAGAGAAATGTACTTGAGTACTGCATATTTAACAAAATAATTAAGTAGAAATTACTCCTCAAACTCTAACTGGCAATGTTAAATGTACATATTTCCTTTGCTAATTTTACCCAACTTAGTTAAGTAGATTTTACTTAATTCAATACTTAAATTTTACTTAAAATGTATGTGTGCAAAAACTTGCAAAATAAAAATTAAGTAAATCTACTTATTGTTTTTTTCAGTAGTGGAATTGATATTTAGAAATAACTCACAAACCTTTAAAAACAGACCTACTGTTAGCTACGAGGTTGTTTTATGCTGGATTATATTATGCTGAAGCCCACATTATTTAAATTTATTTTGTTAAATAATCAGGTTTAACATCAGAATTCCTTGTGAAAAACTACATTATCCATGATTCTGCAAAGAAATCTTGGGAAATATAAACAAATAGCACCAAAAGAACACTTTAGAGCTTGCCAACTCCTATGAATTACTGCAAATTACGTCGAACCCATCTTCCTAAAGTCTTAAACTACTTAAATATATGTATGCATATTTTGCAATATTTACCATCAACGTCTTTTCAATGGTTTTTTAATAGTTTTATATTTGTCTGTTTCCCTCATGAAAGCCGTACAAGCACAGTCTTGTACTGTCCTTTTTTCCAGATTTTCAAATATTTTTTTGCTTCAAATAAAAGTTTTTAATGTTGTGATTCACCTCGTAGGTGGTTGGTTTGGTTCATGACTTGTCTTATAACTCTTTAATAAAGACTTTTTAAAACCTCCTATGGGAAAAAAATGAATGGGATAAATACTACCAGAACCAAAGCTGTTGAAAAAAATGGAAGGGGACTATATAACAATAATCTGCCATTGAAAATGAATTCAAATAGCAGCACAACAGTCGCATTGAGCAGACAATTAGCGGCAAATGCATCTACTTTTATACTTACAGACAAAACCCAGAAAACAAGGTGGAATGTATGTTTCTGGCTCAAACAAATCTCAAACAGAAGAAGATTTGATTATCAATTTCAGTCCGAACTTGCCTTTTTAGTGTACAATAAGCACAGATAGTCAGCGAACAGACTGTGGGTGATCTGTAGGCATGTCGTCCGAGGCTGAGACTAGCTTACATACACATATGCACACTTTCACACAAATCTAAATCTATTTGAGTAGTAAACATGCATTGCCATATTGCATGTGACTTCATCGCTGTGGTGACAGCTTCTGGAGTTAGTTGCCATGCCTCCTTGTTCATCATGATCTGTACAGTGCTTTAGAGCTCATACCGTCACATGACATATATGTCACATGGCACTGTCATATGACCATAAGCACTTCACCTGCAGGGCAATGGAGACCCGAGTCTCTGCTGAAGTCTGTGATTCATACAGTTTTATTCTACATGGTACTATTATGTGCAAAAAAGCTTGATTCACTCCAATTTATTAAGACCAAATCCAGCACTCAGCACAAAAATAAATAAATAAATAAAAACAGACTCCCAGCAGGCTCAAGTCTGTCAGCTCAAGCAGTTCACAGGCTCAGATCAGGAAATGTGTAAACACACACAGACCTTCTCAACAAACGTCTCTCTGAGGCACGAGAGACGTTGTCTCAGTCATCTCTTTTTATTCTCAAGAGATGATCGGGATCAATTCCATCTCTAAAGACTTACTTAGTATTGTCTGTGCCACTAACTTACGCAAACATGCTATTTTAGACCATGCAGTGCATCTGTCCTATTCCATTGTGTCTTATTTGCCAATTATCCCTATTAGTAAAAGTAGAGTACACCTGCTGAAAGGTGTGTGTAGTAAGCAGAGATTAGATGTTTATGCAGAGATCTTTGTATACTAAATGGCCCACCAAGAAAAACGTCATCTCCGATATAAACAGATAGTTCTGTTTTTGATTGGATGAGTTGCATTCCAATCCATTTTAATGCACACCGGTGATCACACATTCTATATATTATCGCATCAAGTTGCCACGTTGCTTGAAAACTGTCTAATGCAAATATGAATGAACTCTACTTCTTGTTTCTAGAATTTTATTGAACAGAAGCAAATAGCCAACTGATTCACAATGTTTTAACACATATGTATTTGTTATCCAGCTTTCTGACTCCGTATGCCAGCATAGGGAAGTGCATTCTGGCATCTGTTTCTCTGTTTCTCTCACTCTCACTTTCTCTCTCAGCTGACTTTTTGCCACAATAAATAGACTGCCTAATTAGATCTAGCGTTCATCAAAATGGTGATACACATCTCAATTGGACAGTGCCCTTCTAGGAGGTGAGCAGTTTGATTGTCTGTAATACCATTATGGTGTTATCTTTCTGGGCAAAGGCCCTGTCCAGCCCTAATAGGTCCTAATGCATTCTGTGTTGTCTTGTTTCGCTGCTTTACATGGGCAGCTCTGCAAAAGTGATCTGTACATAGAGAATCGCCTGACATGTCCTCTGCATGTCTCACTATGCTGCTATGAAATCACTCCTCAAGTGTATCGGACTAATCTGTTGATTTTTATCATGTCCAGATTATTCTATGAAAGTACCACCTGTGTCCAGTCATCTGATGAAGTGCACTAACTATCAAAATCTTTACATATACAAAAAAGTATGAATATAAAAATAGAAAAAGTATAAATATAAGCATAGAAAGTTAAATATACTAAACATGTAATTAAATAAATTAATACATTTACAATAATTGTAAAGTTATATAATTTCCTCATGTAATTTACACTGTATTTAAATTAAATGTAAATTATATTTTAAAGGAGTATTTTACATGTCTGTAAATAATATATATATATATATATATATATATATATATATATATATATATAATGTATATAAAAATAAATAAAATCAGAACAAAATATAAATAACACTACTAAATAAAATAAGCATAGACTAATTTTTCTGTTTGACTATATATTTTTTTATTTTTTGTGTTTTTTCCCTGTTCCTCTTGAATAACTGCGTTCCCTCCTGTATAATCTGTATAAAACTAAATGTAATATTGTTATTATAAAAATAAAAATAAAAATTACAGCAACTTACTTTCCCATAATAAAGTGTACACTGGTTTACCTATTCATACTACCCATCACATTTATATAAAAATATAAATTTTAATTAAAACAGGATAATTTATTGGTTTCCTCCATGTCACACCACATATTAAATAATAAATATTAAAAATAATGAACTGTGATTTTAAAAGACATAACAAAGACGTGATAAACTTGATAACAGGGACAGCAGCAGCCATTTTAGCTTGAAATGTCCCATTACAAGTTCATAACATGCCAACATATATATATTTATTCCCGACACAGAAACAAAGAGACACACACGTACACATAGACACAAACACCTATGTTAACACATTTAGGTGTCCACATACTGTAGAAAGTACCAAGAGATGATTAGCTGTAAGATTGAGTAACTGCAGCTGGCTAAAGAATGACATGACTTCGCCCTTGGCTTGTGTCCTATGTGTGAGGGAAGTGGTGAGAGGACGTTTGGACGAACAATCAGACAGACAGATCAGTCTATAGAAGGAGAGGACAGGCGTGTGATGAGAAGGACAGGCAATAAGAGCAAACAGAGGGGAAAGGGTGAAAGAAAGAGACATTACCCCTCTCCTTCCCCACCGCCTCCTCCGCTGTAGGTGTTGAGAGATGATCAGAGACAGGAAGACAGAGACAGACAGAGCCAGAGACACATACAAAGACACAAAACACACACAGAGACAGAAAAAGGCACAGGGAAAGAATGGGGTTTTTGAAGCAGGAAAAATATCAACATGAGACAGAGAATACAATCACAAAATAATGGCAGAGCTCCTAGTTTGGTTTATATGTGGACACCTAATCTAGTGTGAACACTTAAAACAATTTAAATACAAATACAAAAATACATATACAAACAGAGTCCAAAATTAACTTTTTGCTACACCTGCATTGGCTGTCAAATTGGTAAGAACTTATCATAAATATAGACTTTTATTCCCAGTCAAAATATTGTATTTCACATTATTTACCAAGACACATTGTGTATTTGTCCCTATGACGAAATAAAATAAAATAAAATAAAATAAAATACATATTCAGTAATATTTGACTATTTTCTGTGGTGGTCACGAAATTACATTTTCCAGTTTCTAGAAAATGGGTAAATTATACGTTCATTTACTCGCCAAAGCCTCTTTTTACTTGCATTTGACGCTCTGCAAGTGCTAATTTTGGACTCTGTACACAAAATACTAAATAAACATGCACAGATACATACACACAGATATGAGTCACTCCCTGAAATTGAGTAAAAGGTTAAAAACAGACTGTGAGAGACAGCAGAGATGTGGGAACTGTTCCCACGCTCACAGCCAGGGAGCGCCAGTCACCCCAGAGCGCCTGCCGTTCTGAGCGCACTATCGCTGTGTGCAGAGAGAGGGAGAGAAAGGAAAACTGGAGAATCTAGCCCTGATAGCAAAGAGCTATAGCAAAGAGGCACATCCAAATGCCTCTTTATGAATCGCCTAATAGACTTATTTCATGCGGGAACTAAAAATGTGAGTGCAAATGGAAGTGGGGTTGGTGGGATTGGTGGTAGGGGAAAACAACACTCAAGGATTCAAGGCAGTTTCTTTAAGAAAGTCATGCTGGGAAAGATAATCAGTGCAGTTTGCAAGCTCTATTTGTCCCCTCAAACAATGTTACGTATATTTTTTCCTTAAATGTTATTGTTTCTACTGTTTTATGCCTTATAACTCAAATTTGAGTTCTAGAAATATTGTATATATATATAAAACTATATCCATCAGGTCTTAAAATGTGGCATAAAAACATTTTAAAACAAAATATTACATCTTTATAAACTACTCCACACAAAGTCTGAAATATTGTACTTCAGTTTTTAGTGTTCAGATGCCAAAAAATAAATTTGATGAGAATGGGAATTTCAGCATCAGATTCTGCATGAACACCTCTGTAGTGCAAAATTATTTGCAGGTATTTTACACTTTCGCATTTAATTGTGTCAGACTTGTGTGAACAGGTCTTTATTAATATAAATCTGACAGCCATTCACGTTTTGTATGCATGGTACATGTCATGTGTTGTGTTTGTCCACCTAGTCTAAAAAACTTTTTGTGGAAAAGAAAATGTGTGCACATTTACATATTTACAGTTGTTCAGGGACTGAGGAGGATGTACACAAACACATAGACAGAACCATATAATATTACTATTTCAAAGCATTCAGATTCTGGTATTTCAGGAAGAAAAAAAATGATCTGGGTTCATATTTCTTCCATTCATGCTTTCATTCAGGTCATCTGACATGTCGATTCCCAGAATCTGTTCTCATGCTCTTTACTAAGTCTGAAAAATAGCTTTTACATGCATTTGTTTCCAGTTTCATATTAACAGATGCACCTTTCTGACCTCTCCCTCATATTAGTAACTCTCTCAGTCCAGTAGCTGGGCTGTATGCTTCCGCTGCGATCAGATACACGACCTGGAACAGCTTTATTCCTCTTGTCACCTATCCTGATTGCCAGTCATAAATCCCTTCTTTGTTGTTCCTGCCTTTATTTATAGCAGTTTGTTTAACAAGATTCCTAATCATTTCAGTGTGATCTTAAGAGTTTAAACAGCTCATTTCTGCATGGACTGTGGCTACACTGGACCCAACTGTAAACCCTCATCACACGAATAATCATTATAACTCATTTCACATGCAAAGATGTCAGTCAATCATAAGAGGGGTCATTTAATAAATGAATCCTAAATAAAGAGGTACAGAAGCCTGTTTAATTCTGCTTAAGGGCAAGAAATTTTCAAGGAAAAACAATTAAAACTAGTTTTAAGTAATTATAAATAGACTATCAACGATACAAAACTGTAGCATAAGGTCCCTTAAATGTTTCCCCCTTGCTCTCTTGTTTCTTTCTTCTTATTGTCTGTTTTCCTCATGTTCGGCTCCAGGTATGTAGCGTAAAAATGGAGTGTAGAAATACCTGAGGTGAGTGTGGCTGGATGCTCCAGAGATTCCTGGGCACTAAAGGGTTACAGGTGCCCAGGTAGGGTCATCACCCTCATGGAAATGGGCCCAGTGAGAGAGAAAAGAAAGAGAGAGAGAGAGAGACAGCTGGGTTGTATGGGTAGCAGGCTGGCGCTCCAGGGTGGCAGAGAGCTGTGCCGACTACACAGGCGTTTGACCTGTAGGGAGCAAGACGGGAAAGGACAAGGAAAGGCAGCAAGCAGGAGAGGAGAGAGGAGTGAGGCATGAGCGCTGGGGCCTTGATGACACTTACGTGAAGGCAAACGCCACCAGGGCACCACTAACCACTATAAAGTCCAGGATGTTCCACAGGTCACGGAAATATGAGCCTTGATGGAGGACAAGACCTAAATCTACCATCTGAAACAGAGAGAGAATTATTTAGTAAGTGCACTGCTGTTCAGAAGTTTGAGGTCTTTGAAAGGAGTCTCTTCTGCTCAACAAGGCTGCATTTATTTGATCAAAAATACAGTAAAATTGTGAAATATTATTACAATTTAAAATAACAGTTTTCTATTTGAATATATAAGTAAACTTTAATCTATTTCTGCGATGGCAAAGCTAAATCTTCAGCAGCCATTGCTCCAGTCTTCAGTGTCACATGATCTTCAGAAATCATCATTCAGATTCTGGTATTTCAGGAAGAAAAAAAATGATCTGGGTTCATATTTCTTCCATTCATGCTTTCATTCAGGTCATCTGACATGTCGATTCCCAGAATCTGTTCTCATGCTCTTTACTAAGTCTGAAAAATAGCTTTTACATGCATTTGTTTCCAGTTTCATATTAACAGATGCACCTTTCTGACCTCTCCCTCATATTAGCAACTCTCTCAGTCCAGTAGTTGGGCTGTATGCTTCCGCTGCGATCAGATACACAAGCTGGAACAGTCATTTTCCTTTATTCCTCTTGTCAGCTATCCTGACCGCCAATCATAAATCCCTTCTGTTTGTTCCTGCCTTCATTTACAGTAGTTTGTTTAAGAAGATTCCTGATCATTTCAGTTTGATCTTAACAATTAAAGCTAATTAATAAAATTAATAAAAGCAGGTTAATTTCTGCATGGATTGTGACAAAAAACATACTAAACTGGACCCAACTATAAACCCTCATCACACAAATAAGCATTATAACTAATTTCACATGCAAAGAGGTCAACCAATCATAAGAGGGGTCATTTACCTAAATAAATCCTAAATATAGAGGTACATAGTACAAAAGAGTAGCATATGGTCTCTTAAATGTTTTCCCCTTGCTCTTTCGTTTCTTTCTTCTTATTGTCTGTTTTCTTCATGTTTGGTTCCAGGTATGTGGCGTAAAAATGGAGTGTAGAAATACCTGAGGTGAGTGTGGCTGGATGCTCCAAAGAGTCCTGGGCACTAAAGGGTTAAAGGTGCCCAGGCAGGGTCATCACCCTCATGGAAATGGGCCCAAGCTCACCCACTGGGTAGGCACTGGGCAAAATGTTGTGCATGATGTGGATATTTGGTGAGAAATTACCAAAAGGATATCTGGTGTTTAATGTCGGTGGCGGGGAGGCAAACGCCACCAGGGCACCACTAACCACTATAAAGTCCAGGATGTTCCACAGGTCACGGAAATATGAGCCTTGATGGAGGACAAGACCTAAATCTACCATCTGAAACAGAGAGAGAATTATTTAGTAAGTGCACTGCTGTTCAGAAGTTTGAGGTCTTTGAAAGGAGTCTCTTCTGCTCAACAAGGCTGCATTTATTTGATCAAAAATACAGTAAAATTGTGAAATATTATTACAATTTAAAATAACAGTTTTCTATTTGAATATATAAGTAAACTTTAATCTATTTCTGCGATGGCAAAGCTAAATCTTCAGCAGCCATTGCTCCAGTCTTCAGTGTCACATGATCCTCCAGAAATCATTAAAATATGCTGATTTGCTGTTCAAGAAATATTTGTTATTATCAATGTTAAAACAGTTGTGCTGCTTAAAATGATACAGATATATATTTTTGAGGATTATATAATGAATATAAAGCATTCATTTGAAAAAAAAAAAAATTATAATTGCAATCATGATTCCTGTACCTTGTATTGTAATTCATTTTTATGATATTTCCAGGAATCACTATTTTAAAATTCCCAGACATTTCTGGGGTTTCCAAAAGCATGTGCAACTATATGAACTTGAAATGAATATGAACCCTATAGCACTTCAGATTATTGCATGACACAACATGGAGACCAATAAACAACTCTTTAAGTACAAAATACATAAGTATAATTTGTTGAAGGGTGAAGTATAGACCATCATACCCCAGACAGCTGTGCAGGATAGGTACTTACCTTAATGAGCATCTCAAAGGTGAACACACCAGTGAACACATAGTCAAAGTACCGCAGGACCTGCAAGCACAAAAGAGAGACACATTGTTAGCAATAAAATTAAGCCCTTTATGACAAATAAATATGACAAGATGAATATAAATAATGATAAATAAACAGATGAAAATGATGGAGAAGTAAACTAATACATCAGGTAATGATTAGAAGCACAGATGGATAGATAGATTAAATGGTTTCTAGTCCAGTAGACAAAAATAAACTGAACCACAGAGACATAAAGAGAGGATGTTGAGATGTGGGATTGTCTCACATTGTTGCGGGGGGAATCGGGCCAGACAGGGTCTTCAGCGGCCAGGGCAATACTGCTCATTGCAATGACCAGCAGAATACACATCTCAAAATATCTGAGCGTGACGATATAGTGGCACAACCTCCGAAATCTACAATGGAAGTTCATAAAAATACCTGTTAATAGCAAAAACAACCACTTCTTTTGAAAGAAAGCTCATTTAATTTAATATAAAAACTCAGAGGCGAAAGCAGGTGACTCTAGTCAGTTTTGTTTAATGGCAACATGAAAGAGTGTTTGCACCCTATTTTACTTCAATAATTAGAGAATTGGAGGAATTTCCAAATGAAATAGGATAATAAATAGTAGGAAATAAGCAGGACAGGACTTCATTTTATCCATTGGAATTGATTGGACTTTGAAAAGTGGTCATTATATACCAGATATTATTAATATCTTTTATTGTGGGGAATGCAATTGTAATATTGACCAACTGCAGAGTCACAGTGCCAGGACTGGCAGTAAATTAGCAAGTTTCACAGAGATGTCTGCACTCACGGGTTGGTGGTAGTCAGAATGAACATTGAGGTGTAGGGTGGCATGGGTTTAGGCCCCGCATCATCTTTCTCATCATCATCATCGTCACCCTTTGTGTCCTCCTTCTTGGGCAGGGGCTCTGTGTTTGCATTCTTATTGACTGTGGAGACGAGGAAGGGAAACAACATAGTAAAACAGATGATTAAGACAATAAATAAAAATGTCAGTTATTCTCTTTAGCTCTTTCTCTCACCCTGTAGGATGGCGTTACTGGAGGGGAACATCGGGGGAATGTCCACGGCAGTGTAATCGGGGTTCATGCTCAGGTGACCAGTGCTGGTAACATTAGCAGTGGTAGAGGAAGGGTTGGTGAGAATGAGGCTGCTCTCAGTGTCAGTATGTGCCAGGCCGGCAGTGTGGGCACTGTTGGCCAGATTGAGCAGACTATCATGAGGAGTGGAGTTACTAGGTGGCTGGGTGGCAAGCTTGTTGTTCATGGCATTGTCCAGGTCCTCACTGTACTGACTGTCCTGCCTGGACAGAGTCTTCTGAATGGGACGGGTGGTGGAGAGAGTGGGGCCACTTCCATGGCCATCCCTGGAAATAGAAGACAGCAAGATTATGAGTTTAAAACATGCTTGTTAGGAACCCTTTGGAATGCTCTTTAGTGTGCCACTTAAAAAATTGTCACTTATAAATATGTAGAATACTACCAATCAAAAATCTGAGGTTGGTATAATTTTTTTTCTTGTTTTGTAAATTTTTTACAAAAAGATGTACCTTTTAAAAACAGTTATATTATATATGACCCTGGACCACAAAACCAGTCTTAATTAGCACAGGTATATTTGTAGCAAAAGCCAACAATACATTGCATGGGTCAAAATTATCGATTTTTATTTTATGCCAAAAATCAGTAAGGATCATGTACCATGAAGATATTTTGTAATTTCCTACTGGAAATATATCAAAACGTCTCGGTTACGTACGTAACCCTTGCTCCCTGATGAGAGAACGGAGACGTTATGTTGTGACGACATTAGGGGATTCACTTGGGAGCCCCAATCACCTCTGACTTTAAGAGAAAATGCCAATGAAATTTGGCTAGTGGATTTTGCAAACCTGAGCCACTCCCCGTGCATACGGGTATAAATAGGCAACAGGTGCATCCACTCTTCAGGTTTTACGCTGAGGAGCCAAGAACTTGTCCCTGGCCACCAGCGATGGTTCGAGGTTGTGGCATGGGGACATAACGTCTCCGTTCCCTCCATCAGGGAATGAGGGTTACGTACGTAACCGAGACATTCCCTATCTGTCGGTCACTATGAGTTATGTTGTGACGACATTAGGGGTCCATGGAAAGCGCCACAACCTGAACCCCATCACAATCCTATGGGATCACAAATGTTGACAAGAAGCCGCGTGTCAGACAAATGCAAAGGTCGTAACCTTCCCACCGCCCCAGCGCAAATTAGCTGCCCTCGGTACCCGCAGGGACTAGAGGGGAGTATAACGCTGCTGGTGATAGCCAAGCCGCTGTTCCTTTCACTACAGAAATTTCTTAACAGAAGGGATTTCGACCTTCAATGAATGATTTGCTTCAAGTCTTTCCTATTTGTTGTTACAGCTCGGCAGTAACGGTGGGGAAGCGAGCCTTCCGGAGAAGGGCGCTATGGAGGCCACATCCTTCCTGCAGGGAGGTATCATGTGAAGACACTGAATGGACTGACCCAGGCCTGGGGCAGTACTACACATGGAATGGGTCTCTGAGGCAGGTCCTACCTAAGAGTAGGGATGGAACAACTGTCAGCAGAGACTGACAGAATGATCTGTCAAAGGGAAGACACGGGCTCACCGAGAGGGGAACCTTACCATGGAAGAATACACATATGGGATTGCCCGCAGGGAATCAAGCCATATGGACACCTAGCCCAGTACAGGGGCTGACCAGAGATCCGGGCAAGCTAACACCAATACTGGGCCTGGCGTCAGACTGCTCTGCCCAGTCTGACTGCCGGGGGTGCTGGAGGATACTCGACCAGGGTTCGCAGTCCGGGGAACTTACTGGAGGAGGAAAAAGGCACTCGCATCCCCAGGTGAGGGGGAATGGCGCAGCTAGCATGACACCGGCCAGCTCTTCCCACCTGCTACCAACACATGGGAAAAAACTGGCTCAATGCGGAGACTGTAAAATATTGCGAAGGTGTTTGGTGTCGCCCAGCCCGCAGCTCTACAGATGTCTGCCAGAGAGGCGCCATGCATCAATGCATAGGAGGAGGCAACACTCCGTGTGGAGCGAGCCCTCACCCCCAGGGGGCACGGCCAACCTCTGCTTGGAGACAACCTTCCCTTTCTGCTGACCTCCGTAGCAGACAAAGAGCTGCTCGGAGCTTCTAAAGCTCTGGGTGCAGTTCACATATATGTGCAGCGCTCTTACGGAACAAAGCAGCGCCAAGGCTGGATCTGCCTCCTCCAAGGGCAGTGCTTGCAGGTTCACCACCTGATTGCGAAAAGGCATGGTGGGAACCTTGGGCACGTATCCAGGCTGGGGTCTCAAGACAACGTGAGAGTAGGCCGGCCCGAACACAAGGCACTCTTCACTCACCAAAAATGCTTGGAGGTCCCCGACCCTCTTGATGGAAGTGAGCACGGTCAGGAGCGCTGTCTTAGCAGACAGGAACTTAAGCTCGACTGAATAGAGCGGCTCAAAGGGACCCCTCTGAAGTCCAGCCAGGACGATTGAGAGGTCCCAGGAGGGCACCAGGGGTGGCCTAGGAGGATTTAACCTTCTGGCACCCCTCAGGAACCTCACGATGAGATCGTGCTTTCCCAGGGACTGGCCATCCACTGCATTGTGATGTGCTGCGATCGCACGCACATACACTTTCAAGGTGGAGGGTGACAGCCTATGCTCCAACCTTTCTTGCAGGAAAGAAAGCACTACTCCAATCGTGCATCTCTGAGGGTCTTCTTGGCGAGAAGAACACCAGTTTGCGAACAGACTCCACTTCAGTGCATAGGCTTGCCTCATAGAGGGAGCTCTAGCCTGAGTGATGGTGTCCACCACTGCTTGTGGCAGACCACTCAAGTCCGGCGTGTCCCGTCCAGGAGCCACACGTGGAGGTTCCACAGATCCGGACGCGTGTGCCACATGGCGCCGAGCCCCTGAGAAACGAGGTCCTTCCTCAGAGCGATGCGCCAGAGAGGGGCTGTCGGAAGGATGAGTTCCGGAAACCAGGTCCGGGTGGGCCAGTACGGCGCAACCAGCAGGACCTGTTCCTCGTCCTCTCTGACCTTGCACAGTGTCTGTGCGAGCAGGCTCACTGGGGGAAACGCATACTTACGTAGAGCCCGAGGCCAGCTGTGTGCCAGCGCGTCCATGCCGAGGGGGGCCTCGGTCAGGGAGTAATACAGCTGGTAGTGGGAGGACTTGTGGGAAGCAAACAGGTCTACCTGGGCTTCCCCGAATCGACTCCAGATCAGCTGGATCGTCTCGGGATGGAGTCGCCATTCTCCAGGGAACGTGAGCTGTCGTGCGAGCGCGTCGGCTGCATGATTGAGCTCGCCCGGGATGTGGACAGCGCGCAGCGACTTCAGCCGCGTCTGACTCCAGAGGAGGAGATGTCGGGCGAGCTGTGACATGCGACGTGATCGTAGACTAGTGCTGGGTGGTATGACCAAAAATTTATATCACGGTATTTTTCAAAATTATACCGGTTTCACGGTACATGACGGTATTTTTTTTTTCATGCATGACCGGGTGTTAACCATATTTTCTACTGATTGAGAGAGGAAATACTAAAGATACATATAAAGCAGCTACCGATGCGATGCGATACGATTAACCCCTATTACGATGCAGTGCGATCCGATTTCGATTCGATTCGATTCAACACAATGCGATTCGATGCAATATGGTGCATTGGAAAAAAATATGATTACTTCTAATGCCTCGAGGCCTGTTTCATAAAACAAGTTTACCAAATAAGCCAGGCTTATTTCAGTTAGTCTGACTCATTGTCAAATGATTTGGTTCCATAAAGCAAATTTAACATAGATCAACTTTCTGGCACTCTCACACACTTACATTCTCCTTTCACATACATAGATTTTTGCTTTCACACACTTACATTCTCCTTACACATGCATACATTTCTACTCTCTCACACACACATACATTCTCCTTTCACATACATATATTTTTGCTTTCACACACTTATATTCTCCATTCACATGCATACATTTCTACTCTCATTCACACACACATACATTCTCCTTTCACATGCATGTACTGTATATATATAGAATGTATGTATGTCTGAAGAAAATATGTTATGTAAAAGAAGAATGTATGTATGTGTGAGAGAGAGTATAGTGTAAACAGAAGGTGTATAATGGAAACGGAAGGCAGGTCAGGCGCGATCAGGGTCACCGGGACAGGTCATGATCAGCATGGCTGACGTAGATGAGGCGGCCGCATAA